AGGCTTTGCCAGTGCTGTGTATCATGTTTATCACTAATGCTTCTAAGTGTGTCTCCAACTATGCCAAGGTGTGTTAAGATAGTAGCGAAACTTTAGACACTGAATTTTAGTAGACTTCAAAGTACTGTGGTGGAAGTAAAATTAGAAGTATCTGGGATATGGTTTGAGGGAATAATCAGCTGGCTTTCTGATTACATATGCTAATACTAAACAACATACAAAATATACTTAAATTTTCTGACACCTGTGACAAGTACTTAGATTTAAATCTCTTTATCCTGAATTCACTCTCTTGTGTCTTGTTTTAGAACATTTGGTACTTGACATAAGGTACTAGATTTAGATTTCTGCAGCATTTCGGTGCAACTGCAGCATTCTAACAGAAGGTCAAAAGCAGAACGCCATGATATTTCCCAGTGTATGTGCATATGCATGCACATACATGTAATTCTTAGGTGAGGAAGTGTCGGTACTATACTTTGATGTATATAAACATTTAAGTAGGGATATAATAATTATTCCTTAATATATTTTTTACCACATCACAATACACTGCCATTTTGCAACTCATTTTTGTTGGACTTTATCATTTTGAAAAAATACAAAATGTTGGGATTGCTAAATCCAGCTTGATTATCCCTTTCAGGGTTTTATTGTGAGCAGCTTTTTGGTTGAATGAGCCATTTTTTCATCCTGCAGGCAGCAGTGATGACGTAAAAATACCTATTAAAATGAATGTTGCAAGATGACAGTTTAAATTGTTGTATTATCCTTTTAGTTTTCATTTGGAGACTTTGTATGTCACTGTCCATTTTAAATGCAGATTTCTTTGAACACCCTTTCTGATGTGAATTTGGGAAAGTTTTTTAACAGAATATTTCATTCCGTAATGCTGAACATCATGTTGCAGCCAGTAAGCATTAGATCTAGTATTTGTAGTTTGCATGTGTGTTGATCTTAAATACAACATTTCCACATGCTCTTGCTAGCTTTAACATAACTAAATTTATCTGTTTTAACATCAAAATAGTGAGAAAAAAATTGTTTTCTGACTAAGTATTTATTTGCACTACTTATGAATACTGGAGTTTACTGGGACAGGGTTTTTTCTCACCATGTGAGGTTTACTTGTGTGTAGGTAGGTACGTACGTTTGTCACGTGTTGACAATCAATTGCCTCAACTGTGTGTATACTGTATGTAAATATGAACATATTTTTCAAGATTAAGGGGGAAACCTGCATCTTAATGGTGGTAAAGCTACTCTGTAGTAGGGTGACCCCAACTCTAATCCCTTTTTGTCTCCAGATACTATGTGGTTTGTTTTACTTCTTTAATGAAGATTATTAGTGTTCTTGGGAAATTTTAGCTCCAGGGAAATTTTCCTCAATATTTAATGTATAACATGTTCAGAGAATTATATTTTGAAAAATTAATTTTGGAATAGATAATGCTATGCTATGGCTGTATTTTAACCTAAGAGTTTAAACTTGTCCTATTTTTATCATGAACCAGTGGCTATCTCTTTTAAGTGTTCAGCATTTTAACTTCGGTCACAAACCAGAAATTTTTGTTTTTCTTAGCTTACAAATTTAAATGAATTTGAAAGCTAAGTGAGAACCAAGAATAACTTTTTGAGTAAAGTCATAAAAATCAAGCAGTACAGTAAGTACTGTACTCATAATCCTGGAGGAGGTGTGGAAAATATAATGGAACATGTTTGAATGAAGTGTATGTACTGCACACAAAACAAAAAGTTGTTAGTAAATCTAATAATCCCATTCTTAAAATTTGCAATTCTCTCATTGCCAAAGATATTGCTACCTTGGTATGTTTAATATAGCATTAAAGCCATTAGCTAGGTCTCATTTGTAACAACCATTTACATCATAGAAATAGTTTGCAGCAGAAGAGTAAACATGCCCCTTTATTTATTTAAATTTCTTATTTAGGATAATTGCAGGACTAAAGTTGCAAAATATCACTCTTTTCCAAGCATGGTAAGCAAAGCTCTGTACTTGCATTGCATTCTTGAATTATATCAAATTATTCAGTATTTTATATTTTCTTCAGTGTTTTAAGTGCTGTTCATTTCTAGCATATGGGCCTTAATCTCTCTTGATTATTTTTTAGTTTGTTTTCCCACTGGTGCTGGGATAAACTTTGCTGTGGAAAGCTTTTCTGTAGGTGATTCAGGGTAGCAGATCATGACATGGCTGTTTTGTTCATGAATACATGTATCAATCTGTCAAAATTTTCATGTCATGACCATGACCAAAATACTTGCTTGCCTTTTACACAGTAGTAGAAGACAGTTGGAGAACTGTGAGCAGCTTGGTTTGTCAGTAGTTCCTGAAAACAAGCAGTAAGTGGATTTTGCAAGATTGATATGTAAGAGGATTTCCACATAGTAATTATTAAATTGTATTTAAAATAAAGTAAATCTTGGAACAAGATTTCAAAACATTACAGCTAACCATTTCAGATAAGCATTAAAATTTCAGAAGCAAGCTGTAGAAGTCTTAAGGGTATCTTACAGCTTCCAGAAGTGGATTTCCTGAAAATCTGTCCCATGTTGTTTGCTTGTATTTGAGGTTTAATGAAAAAAATTACAACTTTTGCTTCCATTCTTTCATTTATTTTTTTCTAGGCTACCACCATCTCCTGATTTTTTTTTTTTTTTTTTTTTACTTTGTTCATCAGATTTTACCAAAGGTGTAGTATCTGAGGGACCAAATGAATTTAAAATGGGTCCATAAATTATTTTTCCTATCATAAAGGATTACTAAGCTATTACTGTGAGGAGCTGTTGATGGGAACAGATGTATAGTAAAACTTTGTGTCTGTACAGTAAAACCTTGCCCTACGTTTTAGCTTGTGCATGATGAGCAAAGTGATGAGATCAAGTCTTATTAACCAATTACTTGGTTGTGACCTCCCAGTGTTTTACAGTCAGTGAGATGTAAGCAATTTACAGTGAAATATCTTTGCATTCTGATAGAACTCTTTAAAGCAATTTAAAATCTGACTCTTGAAAAGATGATTAATCACTCATTAAAATGTGGTATAGAATTCACACAGGTTTTTGGTTTGAGAGTAGAATGGTCAGAGGAGACTTCTGTTTAGGAGTATCTCGTAGTAAAGTGACTCTAAGGTGCTTTGTCATGGAAACTTCTTTACAAATTGGTAGTGGATCCTGTGTGTTTGAATCCTCATCCTCCCCAGAAGTGATCACGAAACAGAAAAAATAGTATCAATGAAGCAACCTTTTACCTTGTGTTCTAAAATAAGGAGGACTTTGGGAGTGACAGAAATACTGGCTATTGACACTGTTCTTTCTGTTCAGGCAGTGATTATTGTTGTGCTAGACTTTTATGTTATTAGTTTATGAAAAATGCAAGTAGTAAAAACTTTGTGGTTTCAAGTATACAGTAGATGTGAGTTAACAATCACTCAGGATAAACCAACTTGTCAAAGTATTAATAGATTCCTACTACTGGGGTGTGTCTGTGTTTTTGTGTGCCAGTGTTCAATGATTACTTTGAAACAAGACTTCTTACTGTTTTCCTGCAGACAGTGAATACTTTTGAGATGGATATTGCTAGGTGGTTATGTATGGAAAAATACCATATGATTAAATAAAACTGAGTCATTTAGCATTTTTTCCATATCGAAGATTCCAGGAAAAAGCTAATAAAGGTTTTTAATAATTAAATCAGATACTCTTAATACATTTTAGATTTACTATGGTAGCTTTTATTTGCTATATATATTAAAAAAAAAAAAAAAAAAAAAAAAACCAACAAACAAACAACAAACAACCAACAAACAATCAACTACTAAATTGAGGTACCCCGTGCTGCATTTTTTAAATTTGTAATTCCTGTACTTTACAATGAATATTTTGATCTGTTTTCATCCTTGTAAGAATACAGGATATGCTGTCAATTTTACTAGCAAAAAAGAAACATTCTGCAAAGGTTAAAAAATTATTTTCGTACTTTTTTCTGTCATACCAGATTTGTTTCTCTGAACTAGGGTTTCTGAGGATTTTTACTACTTTAGCATTATGTAATCTTATCTCTGTCACAGAAGGAGCATGAGCAGCCCACATATTGTGGACAAACAGGCTAGGTGAAAGAATGTGGATTGGTGGTGTGAGCCCCTCTTCACCAGGATAGTCCTGCGTGCTGGTATGAACCCCAGATGTTCCAGATTCGGTACTGGTGAAGGACTAAACCAAACGGGTTTTTAATAACTGCGACCTCTGCTGTACGATGTCCTTTAACCTGGGACCAGGGAAAATCTTCATTCTTAGACCTGAAGATGGCACGTATTGAAGATCATGTTATTGGTGCATGTAAGCCATTATCTTAACTGTCTTACTGAGCTGGTTAATGCTGTTGACTGTTGTTGAAATGTGAAATGTAGTTACTATTTACTTTGTAAATACCTGCCAGAGATGAAATATAATTATTTTAAATCATTGTAAATAGAGATGTATAAAACTCGACACAATCTGCAATGCAGAAAAAAAAATATATATATATATAAATATATAAAGATGTTAAATAAATATTGTGCTGTTTCTGAACAGAAATTACTACTTTGTGAATTGCGTTTTTTTTTACTTTTCGTTCATGGGTGGGGCTGTGTAATGCAGGGTATATCTGCAGGGTTTCATAGCTCTGGCACCCCCAAACGCGAGTGTCTGGGGTAGGAGGGGGGAAGCAGGGGGCTGCGTGTGGGGTAACTCCCCCAGAGGTTTCACCGTCGCTGCTGACTCTTTCTGTGAGGAGGCGCCGCCAGCGCGGGGCCGGGCCGGGCCGGGAGCGGGAGCCCCGCCCCGGGAGGCCCCAGCGCGGCGCTCACGGCGGCTTCGCGTCGCCACGGCAACCGCAGGCGCCCGCCCGGCGAGTGCGGATGTCGCCAGCAGCGGAAGTCCCACCCTCTCGCCGCGAGGCGGGGCAGGAAAGAGGGTCGCGGATTGGCCGAGGCCCGGGTCTGTTAAGGTGCGGCGGCGACGGAGTTGGGTGCCCACCCCGATCGCCCTCAGGGACGTGAAGCACATGAACTCGCTTCCGCCTCCTGCTGCTGCCGCTGTAGAGGGTGGCCGGGACTCCGCGGTGAGCCGGCGGCGGAGCGGGGAAGGAGCCCGAGGGTCGGGTCCCGGGCCCTCCGGAGGGCGGTGCAGGGAGGGGGGGATGGGAATACGACGGACATAGTTCCGACAGTTACTGCCGCGCGCCGCCGTGCGCGCGCGCGTTGCGGCTGCGCCCCCCAGCGGCGGGGCCCGGGTGACTGAGGCGGGGGGTGCTTGCAGGGTGCCCGCCATGAGCCAGCCGGAGAGGAGGGGTCGCGGCTCCCTGGAGGTGAAGTTCGTGCCCGACGAGGAGGTCCTGAAGCACATTGCTGACCACGCAGGTACACCCAGCCCGGGGCAGCGCCCGGCCCAGCGCCGCCCGCTGCTCCCAGGGCTCTGGGAGAGGGGTCCGAGCATCCGCGGCGGCCCACCGGGAAGGGGACCCACCTCCAACACCCATGGCGGCTGAGCGCCTTGGCTGGGATGGAGGCAGGACGAGGCCCTTAACGTCATTCTCCTCCGACTGTCTCTTCCGTGCTTTGTTTCTGTCCCTGCCCTGGCACGTGGAACAGGGCAGCTGTGGCAGGTGCCCTTGGCTGTAGGTGGTGTGGGCATCAGCTCTCGATCCCAGCTTCCTGAACAGCAGTGTGTGGGTAACAGCCTGGGAGAGGGAGCACAAACGGGCAGGCTAACTTCCCAACCCCTGACGTGTTTAAGCACACACAGAGTCAAATTAGAAAAGGGTTCGAGGTGGTTGCTACAGGTGTGTTTTGTTGCAGTTTTGACTATTTTTGAGGTTTGGAACCTCTGTGGATGTGCTTAAAACTTGCCTGTATAAGACACAGAGCACTCTGATCTGATTTCACTGTTGGTCCTGCTTTGAGCTGGTCAGACAGTCTCCAGAGGTGTTTCAGCCTAAATTCTCCCATGCGTGTACTGACATCCTATAGGCCAGGTCTTTTCCACTTGCTGCCCTTTACTAGGGAATATAGGCGATGCCAAATACCATCCCTTTGCATGCAATTTGATACTTCTATCTGTGAGTCACTGTAATTTCTCCTAAACTGTGGAAGCTGGTGTGTGATGAAATAGGGGTCTTCTCCTCATTGACTCCAGGGGCCAGATATTGTGGTAAAGGAGGAACTAATGGCCGTGGGGCCAGCTGACTGCCAGGGTACAGACTAGCTATTCTTTTAGTGGGACATCTTTTCAGAGTTGTATTTGTTTAGTGATTTGCACAACAGGAACTTGGTCTCTGAATGGAGTAGCTGCATACTATTGCAATACAAATAATGAAATAGTAGGAGGCTAAAGCTTTTATTGCAATCCTAGGTATTAAAGTACAGAAGGACAAGACTCAACAGACAGTCAGTACGAAGAGATTTATGAAGAAGCTTGGGAATATTTCAGATGATGAAGCTCAGGAGATCATGGAAGAGAAGAACTATGTTTCTGTTCTTGGAATATGTGCCCAAGGTATTATCAGGGGAAAACCTAACACAGCTGTGACTTCAGGAGATTCTTTTGCAGTGTCAGGGTTGTACAATTTTGATGAAATTGTGTGAGGCCTAACCAGCTCTGGCTGTGCTTGTGGTAACAGGTAGAGGAGAGGATAATGATTCTAGGGGTTTATGGTGGTATTTATTTCATAGCAGCTGCAATATAAAGAGTCCTTTGAGCCAAATAGTAAAATGTTGCATTCCATCTTCTTTGCATTGGGAATATACCAGTGCTTTTTAAATAGCTACAAGTAACATTTCTTATCACAGATCCAATGGAAAATGGCTCAAATATAAGTGGTGGTGAAGTTTACTCATTCCAGACTCCCAAACGCTCCAGCAAAATGGCAGAGCTGGGTATGTTTTCCTCTTTGTTCTTTCGTTCTTACTTTGGTTATGGTCTTTTTTTAGTACTTTGCTAATGTGATTTGTCGGTTGCTTATTCAAAAGATATGTTTGCAATATTTCAGTAGCTTTTATCTGGCTCTGAATCAGTCTTCCTCAGAAACAAAAGCACAGGGCTAGGACAAAGTAAAGGTGTAGTGGGGATAAGAAATACAGATATTAAACAAATATATAAGAAAAAGTAAAGTTTCTTAATGCTGGGAGAAAGTCTGTGTGAAAGTGCCAAGGGATAGCAGGGGTTTTATTTGTGTAACTTAGAAGAATATGAGGATGACTAGTTACGTAGCAAAGAGTCAAAAAAAGGCAGTTAGCTTTCTGTGTCAGAGGATTTCTCCTACTCAGAGTATCTGAACATGCTTGCTATGCTAACTGTGGACTTAGGAGAAGCAAACAGAAAGTGGCAGTTCTGGAGAGGGTGTGCTGTTCTTCAAGTAAGATGCTTGAGCCTGCTGCCACTGTGTTTCTTCTCACTTGAAGAGTCTTCTTGTGCCCAGCACCACCTGAAATTCATTAGTCTTTAGCTGTCAGCTACTGACATACTGTACAGAGGATGATCCAAGGGAGGGGTCATCCTTCTGTATCACTATACAGAAACTGTTTTTCATACCTTTTTACTTCTCCTCTGGGCTTCTGCTGTGTCTTGGGAAGTTGTGTGTTTCTTATATCTCCTGCAGCAGGGTAGATTTCACTGGTGCTCCCTCTTGGAGTCATGACTAAGTTTGAAAACTGAGACAAGTCATACAACGGAAGGCTGATTTCCTTGAGGGACTGTTAGCAGGTTATGGGGGTCTTCCATATTCAGGTCAGTGATTCATCTTCAGCTTGTGCTGATAAGTAGTAGAAAGAGGGAAACGAAATACAAGAACCCACCTCCTGGGGAACTGGTGTGTTTGCTATGCCTGATGCTTTACTGTGTCCAATTGAGCAGTTTTAAAGGGCTAAGTGAGCATGACCAAACATTGCTCTGAGTTGAAGACATGTGGTCTCCCAGGGAGCAAAGCGTGCTCAGCCATTGCCTCAGCTATACTTGTAAAATTAATTAACTGAGGAGTTCACTCTTTGAAAAATCTTTGTTAAGGATTATATTCGCCATTAGGGTTAGAAAAAAAATGGAAGTATCTGGTGTGCTTCCTGAAATAGCTAGGAAATGAATACTTAGAGAGTGTTTCTGGTGTATGGCTCCATGGCTGACTAGCCAGAGCTAGGCATTTTGTACCTGACACGTGAAAGTTCTTCCCTTCTCCCTGTTTCCTACAGCCTCTGAATTAGCCCAGACACCAGGACAGAGTGTTGTATCTGCTCACTCTGAGTGCCCTGAGAAGACAGCTGAAGCCCCTCAAAGCAGCAGTAAGTCATGTGATGCTTTGGGGAACTGAAGCTGAGTGTGTGGGGTTATGTTTCTGTTTGGGTAGTGGAGTGGATGTTTGAGTGCCAGCTTCTGTCATGCTTGAGTATTCTAGTCAACATTGTGTACTGAACTGCTTGGTATGCATGGCCTCTGGCTCACCTGGGTGTCAGATCTTTTATTCTGTCCTGCTGGTGTAGCGAAAGCAGGAACTTCTCTTTCATCTGTTGCTGTGATGCTTAATGATTTCCTCTCAGAAATTTCAACAGAAATGCTTGCACCTGAGAGGGTTGTGAGCTGGGCTGATGTGTTGAGCACCAAATATGTAGGGTTGTGTGGGTGTTCATGTGTAAAATCACACTTTATTATATAATGTTCAAACGCCCAATGCTGTAGCAAGAAATACGGGTAGGAGAAGTCAGTGCAGGTCAACACTATCAAGAGCACAAGAGCATGTTCCTTTGTGCTCAGAAATGGAGTCTGATATGCTCAGGGAGAGAACGTTAGCTCATTTTTCAGCCTCTTCCCTCCAGCTGATGGCCTCTCAGAGCTGTGACAGAATTAAAAGATGCCTTCTGTGGTAATATTAACTGTCTTTGTTCTCTTCTTGCCTACCTGTGAGGAACTAGAGGCTTCCCTCATAGGAGTAACCACCTAGGGAACTGATACTCTTTTGCGGTGCACTTTTGGATAGTGGATGCCTGTTTTTCTAATGACTATATTATGCCACTGCTGAAAATATGCAGTACTATGAACAATGATGTTTCTTGCTTTGCAGAACGTTCAAGTTCAAACAAAGTGCATCAGAGGGTGAGTGATGACTCTACCTTGCTTGTTTTTTTTGGGGGGGGTTTGTTTGTTTGGTTTTTTTCACTTCTAAAACTTGAACTGCTCGATTACTGCGGTTCTGGAGAGAAAAGACCATGAAAAGTCTCATCCATAGTACTGATGTCTCTCCTGATTCAACCAGACAGGAGTAACTCAAGCGAGAACCAGAGATACCATCAATTAGGACTGTGGGATATAGAGTCAGTGGGCAAATAGTGGGTTTGACAGCTCAGTTAGCATGGGTGGACACTATTTCCTTGCATCACAGAAATTAGGATGTTAGACAGTCCCTTAATATGCAATAAAATTCACTGTTTTACAATTTCTCACCAAAGGAAGAAACGGCCATAATTGTAAGAAGTGCTGTTGGAACAGGAATTCAAGAGCTGTGGTGCTGTCCAGTTTCTTACTTTAGCATTGGTTTATAAAAAATAAATTGTGGTAATGGGGGGGGACGTAATTTGATGTTGTCTTTTGTGATGCTACAGAGAGATGCAGTCCAGAACTGCCAGTTGTGGTGGTTATAAAGAGAGTGCTGTGGAGCAGCTGGCTTTCTAAAATGGTATAACATCATACTAGAAATGTGTGCACTGCTTTTCTGGTATAAGGTCCCAGGATCAGATACGCCTGTAAGAGATGCTGTTTTGAGATTCCATGTTCACTCCTTGGTGATTTCACATCCACTCTGACAAGATTAACAAAAGTGTTTCCTAAGTATTGCAGACTTGATCTGGTGTCCAAGTCAGGCGTGTGCTTTACACATATGTAAAGAAGACATGCCACCTCAACTTGATGGGCCTAGGCAGCTTAGGTTCCCTTTGATGCACTTCTGGGCTTAGTATTCTGGGTGGTCTTTTGTCATTCTGGTAGTTGTTTTCATAGTGGACTTCCAAATAACTGAGTGACAGTGTAATGTGGAAGGTGACTGCTTTGAGGAGCCAAAGCATTTCCAGTTTGTAATTTCTTTGGTTTGACTCTTCCTGAAAGGCCAAGATTGGCATCTTCTTGGAGATTTCATGGTTTTCTACCCTCCATCTTGGGACATTAGTTGAAAGAATTAAGCACATTTTAGAACCTGATCCTGTCCCCCTCTAGCTCTGAATGGCAAAACAAGAACTTTACATACTACTGCTTCTGCTTTCCCAGTTTCTTAGTGCTGAAGTAGCTTGGAAATGTAACCTGATTCTACTCTTTGCTTGGCAGAGGGCTGTTTTGAGGAGGTATATGTTTCTTCTTCTAATGCATGTTTTTTATTTGTTGTTACAGAGTAAAAAGAAAGAATTTGTGTCTACCACACCTTACAGACTCAGAAAGAGGCTAGCAGGTAAAGATCAACCTTTGCAGTCAGCTCCCACAGTCAGTGAAGCACTGTATTCAGAGGAGAGTGTTTCTTCTGGTGTGCTTCTGCCTGTAGTAGCAGTCTGACTGAAGCAATCTGATTCATCCTGCAGAGAGTGTAGAAATGTCCTTAAGGATGTCTGTGTAGACCTTTTCCCTGCAACAGGTTGCTACTTAGATAAGGGGTGGAAAGGTTTCTTAGAAGCACCAAGTTGCTGAACTTCAGTAATGTGATCAAAAGAAACAAAATTCTCAGTAATCTAACCTATGCTGACAATTAAGTCTGGCACAATTGCTTGAACCAAGTCATAAAACTTCTTGATGATGGCTGGGACATTCATGGTAAAGTGTTTCCAGTAACTGGTTGGCTATATGTGCTCAGAATGAATGCAGAGGAGAGTTTAGTGTGTGGCGTTTCATGTTTTATTTCTTCTTTTGTGTTGAGAGACCAAGACTGAGCCAGATTCCATCTGTGCTCTTCAATCAACATTGCTAGCAGAGGTCTGTTACAAAACCTTTTTTGCAGAGCGTGACCCAGAAGATACTCAGCTTGCATGATTGGCATTTGGGAAAACTGATGTAGACATGCTAAGAGAAATAGGGAATTCTATTGTCCATTTTTAGTCACCTTTTGTGGTAGTATTATGTTTCTTAGTTGGTATTAAGAGGCAAGCTTTACTAAACAATAATCAGTGAGCCTAGAACTGGGAAAGAAATGGCTATATGTGCTTGCAGTCCTCTTAAGCATTGAGAATGCCTAGAGAATGTATGTAAGAGAGTGAGATGGTGCAGAATATGTTATGTGTAAGAGGTTGTTGATAGCTTTTAACCTTAAATTTATGCTTTAGCTCCAGATCCCTATTTAGAAAGTGAGAGTGAATATTCTGCTTCCTGCTCAGAGGAGGAAGATGAGGAAGACCAGAAAGAAGTCAGCGCTGCTTTATCAGATCAAAAGACCCCAACAAAAACTAGGGCTGCATCTACACCTCCTCCCAAAAACACCCTAGCCAAAAAAATTAAGGAGGTCAAGATGGTGAGTGTGCAGAAAATATACTCCTGAGTTAGCAAGTGTGAAGGGATATTTAGTGACTGGAAGCTGTCAGTGACCACACCTAACTATTGGGGAAGAACCGCTAGACTAATTTAAAATTAAACAATCTGGGTTGGCTTTTGCTGTACTTCTGAGCAATCACTGTTGGACAGGCATCATGTGACCCTGTGGTATAATCTGGGTTGTATCCTCAGCAACTCCAGAGGGAGAAGTTCTAAGATGTCCATGAACCAGAAGACCTTGTACTGAGAAAGGATGAAGAAATTGACTCCTGTAGTACCAAAAGAAGTACACATTATTTCCTGGCTTGGTGTTCAGCTTCATTGTCTGATTTCCTTCTAGCATCAGGGATCCCCACACCTCCTTAGAGTTATTGTTGTGTTCTGCTCTCAGAGTCTCTTTTCTGTCTTTGTCTTCAGGAAAGAACTGTCTGACTACGTTAGCTTTGGCAGAATGCTACTGTAGAAGCCATTTTTGTAAATATCTTCTGGCTTTCTATTTAGCCTTGCTCTATGTCTCATATTGGGCCATTTTCAGACATGTTTGTGGGTGCAAAGGGAGAGGGGTAACTTGATAGCAGGAGGAGTGTGGCTGATGTTGCTGTCCCTTTTTAGAACAACCTGGTGGAGGAATACTTTGAAGCTCACAGTAGTTCCAAAGTGCTCACTTCAGACCGAACACTGCAGAAGCTGCAGAAAAGAAGATTGAATCAGGTACACTTCACAGTGAATCACACAACTCTTGGAGCTTTTGATTTCTTTGATGAGATTTCCCTCATCAAAATTTCCTGATGTTGCTATTTTCACTTTATTTCTGCTGATTACATTCTCAGTGGTAATGCTGATTTAGGTAGCGTTTTAAACATTATGTCTCCTACTGCTGTTCTGAGCAGAGATAGTACCCAGTTGTTAGAACCTGAAACGGTAGGGAAGGTGGAAGGAGAAGGGACTATCAGGTGAGCAGATAGTTGAAAGCTGCAGTTACCAGAACAGGTTAAAGTGTGCATTTCTGTGTAGAGGAAATGGAGAGAGCCCTTTTCATCTGAGCATTACTGGGTCAAGCCACATGCAGGACTTGGGACAACTCTAAGTGTTGTCACCTAATGTGTGAAATGCACTTAGTCCCCTTCCAGTTCCTAGGAGACTGGAATGGTCTAATTGTTGTGACTGAATTACTTTTTTTTTTTTCCATATGCTATTTCTATAGGACAGTTCAAAGCACACAGTTACACCCTACAGAGACAGGTACACAAGGACAGATGCCAGGGAAGCATGTAAAATACTTGGAACTCTCATGTCTATGCTGTTTGCACCCATCTGGGTTTTAAAAGATGGCATGTATGCTGATCACCTGATGCCTGCTGTTGTCTGGAATTGTTACCCAGAGAAACATCTGGATTCTTAATGAGTACTTTCATAACAGCTCTGGAAGGAAATCAAGCCTTTCCATATTAAATCTAGTACTGGCTCCAAAGAAATTGAAGGTTTAGCAGTTCTGCCTCACAATGTTTTATGTTTGTCTGATAACATTGCAGCTGTCTTTGTGTTCTTTCCAGAGTGAGCTGTCTTCTGCTGCAAAGGAGTGGAAAGCAAAGCTGTTAAAATTGAAGATGGCCTGTGTAGATTTGATGACGTTTGTCATGCTGCTGTGCTGTTGAAACATCAACATCCCAGCATATCTTTAAAGCTGAATTAATCCTTTGATTCTTGATGCTTTTGAAATAATACTTATTCTACATTTAGCTGTCAGCTGCAAATTATTTCCTTTCTGCTGTATTTCTTTTTTAAGATGGTGTTTGTGAGAATTTTCTGGTAGTGACAACCACCTGAACCATTGTTAACACTGTTGATTGGAGCCCTTGCTCCTATGAGCAGGGTTGTGATGTTAGTATTTTCCTGGTACAGTGCTTGGTGCTGTGTGAGCTCTGAGTGTGTCCATTATTTCAGCAGTGGTTTTTCCATACTCAGCAGGAAAAGAGAAAACACAGTGCGATACCGGTTCTAGTCCTAGTCTGGCTGCCAGGCTGTCGTTTCCCATAATAAGGTTTCTTAATCTCTGCTTTGTTTCTCCACTAGCAAAACTGTTCTTAGAGGCGTCTTCATGGAAAAAAAAACATGAATTAAGTGCACTGTCAGTGAAAACTTATTTCGTTTTCTAGCTAGAGAGCGTACTAGAGTGGTATTTGTAAGGACTCCAGATATATGTCCTGTATTTTCTCAGCCTTGAATGACTGTCATCTTATCTCTTTCTCAACACAGCAAACACTGCAGGACCTTTTGGAAAAAGCTCCCCTTGCCTATGCTGCTGAAATTAAAGAGCTACACCAGCAACACGAATCTCTGTTTTCCAAGTGGATGCTGCAATTACAGTAAGTATCCAGTGAGAATCTCTGAAAAAGCCTAGTAAAAAGTCACTGCCAGTAAACTCACCCTCATATCAACAACATCCTGTGGATGAGTTAAGGAGCGACTTTTTTTCTTTGATTAATTGCTTAAATTTAAAATTAGGTGATATTATTCTAGTATAGTGTTTCCTGTAGACTACATCATATCTGGCTCTTTGAACTGAATGCCTGAAGTGAAATGAGGTTGCATTGTGCCTGATTAGTTTGTCTGTGCCTCTGTAAACCAAGCTAGAGAGCATTCACAAACAGGTAACATGAATGATGAGAAAAGTGTCCTTTGTGAACAATCAGCTTTGCCTAGAGCAACATAGTTGGTAGTGAGTAGCCCACCACCAATTTCTTCTGTATGTGGCTATCCCCAGTGATGTAGCAGTTACCTTTGAATACCTAATGATCTAGGCATGAAGAAAGCTTAATGTTATTGGAATCATTAGCAGTATAAATTTTATCTGGGTTTGTGTGTATCTTCAAGGGAAGGAGAAAAGAGTAAGTATCCAGGAAAGCGAATGAGGAACTACAGAGAGCTGTGAAATTCTGAAGCACCTTAGAGAAGGCAGACCATCAGCTCTGAAGTTAAATGCTGAGGCAGGAGCAGATGTTGGTGAGGAGAAAGCCCCTTGGAAGCTTTGCAAGGGAGTGGAGTATAAAGAAATTTCTGGTCCATGGGGAGTGACAGAGCACATGAAAAAGATACTAGTGATCTGGGCAAATGGTTAGAGATGTGTGTGGCAGGATAGAAGAAACAAATCCATAGATGATACTGAAGTCAGTGACAGTTACTGAACACCTTACCTTTGTCCAGTGCTATTTGAGTGACCTAGTCACTGTCTGATCAAGATGATGCTTTTCCTGCTTCTCAAAAATAAAAAAAGCTTTGTGATTCTCTATCACATTCTCTTTAAGCTTTCCTGCCTCTTTCTCTGTGGAACAATTAGGATAAGAAAGAGATATGAGAATAGTTTAATTTTACTTTGAAATTGTTCCTACAGAACAGAGTAGAAAACTATTATGAAGGATTGCTTTTTTTTCTTGTAATTGCTTGTAACCCATGATAAACATTTAATATAATCTCTGGTGAGGGGGTGAATGTGAATGCTGGTTACTCTTCGTTATCTGAAGTTGCAGATCTAGTCTCATGTTCTCGGACAATACCATTTTCTTCCATAGATATTTTGCTAAAGTTGTGGGCCTCCAGGCTGCTAAAATGCTGGTTTTACTAGAATGCATGTGCCACATTTCAGATTCCTTGCAGCTAAACTTTATTTGTCAGCTGTGAGCTGTAGGTAAGCCTGGATTTTATGAAATGTGAAATTTTTAGAGGCAAGATTGCAATGGATCATTTTGCTTAATGAATGTGTGAACATAAAAAGGGACTTGTACTTTTCTGATTCAGTGTATTTGTTCACTTTTCTGCAGCTTGGGTTTCAATATCGTGCTTTATGGACTGGGCTCAAAGCGTGATTTGTTAGAGAAGTTTCGTACCTCTGTGCTCCAGGATTCTGTTCACCTTGTGGTTAATGGATACTTCCCCAGCATCACTGTGAGATCTGTAAGTGTGGGAAAAGCTTATCTAATCATCCTGTGTCACAGATACCTCTAAAGTCTTTCAGTGTAAAGTGTTAAAGAAACTTGCTGCATCATATAGCAGCAGGCTCTTGAATGAAGAGCAGTTCCTATATCTCTGTTAAGAGTTTAAAGAAATTAGCCCGTGCATTTTCCAAGGAACTGCACTAACTCCTGTCATTAATAGATACTCATCGGTCTAAAGCTTTATTCTATGTCACTGTTTTGAAAAGTAGAAATTTTTGCTTGATGTTGACTGGGGGATTTGATGGTAAAAATCAGATTACTTCCCTCATGGCAGTCAAGGGCTCAGTTTCAGATTTTCTGCACTAAATCCTTCAGTGCCACAGCCCTTCAGAAGGGACTGCTATTTTCTTCTTCAGATTCTCAACTCCATCACAGAGGATGTACTGGACCATATAGGGACCTTCCACAGCCCCCTTGACCAACTTGAATTCATCATTAAAAGGTTTAAAGAAGGTAAAATGACTAACTTTATACATAAAAATGTCCAAGTCCACTTACTGTTAGGAGAGCCTGGACATTTTCTTTCCTCATAGTTTTCATATGTGCAGCTACAGTTTCTTAGTTTATTGTAGCTAGTGTACTTGCTTGTAATTCATGCCACATTTATGAAAACATACGTGCACCAGGAATATATGTGTACATGGTCCCAAGCTGTTTCCTCAGTCAGTGTTTCACACACTAAGTTCCCTAGAAAGGGAAAGAGGAAGGCACGAGCGTTCTAACAAGACAGAGGTTCCTTAACCCTTTGGCAAATTGAAATGCTCATCTGTCTTGCATTTAGCACAGTGCCTTTGTGCTTTATTTATGTGGTGTTTCTGTAGCCATGTATTTCCTGATGGGAGACAGTATTGGTAAACTCCAACTACATGAGGGAAGATGATTCTTAGTGGTTGCATGAAGACCCGATACAAACCTCACTGAAAACAGAACGAAGAACTCATAAACAATTTGGAATGACAGTTACTGACAGTTATCAAGTCCTTTGAGCTCCTCTGGAAGATCATGGCCTGAGGGTCTTTCCATAAATTTCGGTATAGGCTGACTTAAGGCTTAAATGTACATGGTTTAGTGGAGTGGACATTTAAATTTAATATATGCAAATAATGACTTTAAGATAAAATAAAGGACAGCAGTGTCAAACAAGCAGGCTAAAAATGGGTTCAAAAGCAAAATTAAACATGTAATGCCACACGGAATGCGTGCTGGATTCTTTTTGAATGTCCATTTTACTGCTTGTGTATACATACACAAATTGCCATGGAATTTTAATGGTACCTGGCACTGGTGTTCAAGTATTTACGTTCTGTTTTCCATCATTACCTTGCGAGTACTTCTGGTGGGACTAAATGAAAAAGAGACTGATTAGCAGTGGTACCCACCTGAATCTAAATAAATCAGTCTTGTGTAAGTACACTGTAACTAATCTAACTTGGGAGTCTAAGGAACCTTTGGTTTCCATTGGCAGCCAAATATGTATTCATTTGCACAAAAAAAAAATGGCTACTGTTACAGAATTGTTTCTGGACTCAGGAAATAGCTGTTCCCAGGTAGAAGTAAACAGCAACAAGCTAGCTGGAAATTTTAACATCTGCCATTTGCATTATCCAATCTATGTCTTTGTAACTTCATTTGAGGTCTCAGTGGGAAAGATTTCCAATGAAGTTACTATCCTTTGGATCCAACCCTAAACAGAAAATGCATTTTCATTATGTGAGGAGGAGCTTAAGGATCCTAGTCATGTAACTCAAAAGCAGCTGAACAAACTGTGGATTATATGAGAAAAGTTTAAACTGCAAAAAGAACTGTGATGCAGTGAATTGAGAAAAAGCCTTTTCAGTCTTCAGAAACACCAAGTGTGGGATAGAGGTTGAAGTCATCTGTACAAGGAAAGTGATTTGGAGTGATGAATGTGAAGCCTGATGGAATAGACTTTACTGTCTAGGCTGCACTGGGAATGGGAAACCAGTTTGTGTACTGTTTCTTTGATTGGTTCTCTGCTGTTTTTTCTGACCTTGCAGATTCATCTTTAGAGCTCTATGTCCTCGTTCATAACCTGGACAGCCAGATGTTGAGAGGAGAAAGAAGTCAGCAGATCCTTGCACAGTTATCGTCTGTGCCTAGCATTTACCTCATTGCCTCTATCGATCACATCAATGCTCCTCTCAGTGAGTCCAGTTGGGCGTGATGTAGCAAAGAGAGAAGAATCTGTTCAACTTCAGGATTGCTGAGCATGTTTCTTAAGTTCATGTATTACTGTTGATGTGCAAAATTGATCTGGTGATGTATGTATGTATGGTGGTAGCAGCTAGAAGGCCCAGGTGGGACTGTGGCTGTGCTGCACCAAAACTGTGTAAAGATACTGAGAACATTTCAGACTTACTGAAATGGAGATTGGATGTTATGTCTGTCATTGCATCTAAACAAAGTTATTTATCATCCAGAAATTCTTTGCAGGCTGCTGACTCTGGAAGGATTTACAGTGTATCTATGAAGCTGGTAGGAAAAAGGGATCTGTGCAAATGTTTTGTTGTAGAGAATTTGTCTTGCTTGAACTGCAAGTATCTGGGTGTACGTAGTGTGAATTCCACAAGCATACATTGTTTCCTCAAACCCTGCAGTAGAACTAAGTACATTTTAATATTGCTTGTTTAACACTTTAGAAAAGCTCAATCTCCCAATTCTGTCTGCTCTTTCTTTTCTTTTGGTCTAGTGTGGGATCAGGCAAAGTTAAGCCTCTATAACTGGCTTTGGTATGAAACAACCACATTTAGTCCATATGTTGAAGAAACGTCTTACGAGAACTCACTTTTAGTACAACAATCTGGATCTTTGGCTTTGAGCTCCCTAACACATGTCCTGCGCAGTCTCACTCTCAATGCCAGGTGAGACACTGTTATACCTCTTAGTAACACTTGTTGAGGATCTAGTCCTTACTAAGTTACTCTGGTCTACACCTAGCAGGAGGAAAGCCCTGTTTTTTGAACAACGTTCAAGATGAAGATGGTGGGACCTGGGTTCCAACTGACTGGTTACTTTAAATGAACAGCATTTGGGTAGCAAGCCTTTCCAGTGACAAGATTCACGCACAAAGTCCTGGTCATGGGGGAAAATTCAGTTAATATTTTCTAATGGTGGGGTGGTTTGGGTTGTGGGTTTCTTTTTGTTTTTCTCCCTTCTGATTTTCCCCTCTCCTCCTTTGACTTAGGGGGATATTCCGACTGCTTGCTCAGCACCAGCTGGAGAACAAGGACAACCCATCTTATCCAGGTACGTACCCACCTGTTCTCATCTGTTAGGGGTGTTACCATTGCCAGCTCAGTCACAGCGGCACTTGCTTTTGATATGCAGGTGACATCACTGGCAACCATTGCCTCAGTGAGACTCAGTGGCATAGCCTGTCTTTCTAGCGGTACTGTGTCTGAAAGCAAATCAATAGACTGGATGGTTCCTGTTGTGGTTTAACCCCAAACAACAAGTAAGCCCCACACAGCTGTTCACTCACTCCCTGTTCACCCCCACCCCGCAGTGGGATGGGGAAGAGAATCCAAAGGGTAAAAATGAAAAAACTCACAGGTTGAGATAAAGACAGTTTAATAGGTAGAGCAAAAGCTGCACACGCAAGCAAAGCCAAACAAGGAATTTATTCACCATCTCCCAGCAGCAGGTGGGGGCTCAGCCATCTCCAGGATGCCTAACAGTTACTTGGGAAGACAAACACCATCACTCTGAACATTCCCCCTTTCCTTCTTCTTCCCTCAGCTCTATCTGCTGAGCCTATGATGATTCCATACCATATGGTATGGAATATCCCTTTGGTCAGTTGGGGTCTGATGTCCCGGCTGTGTCCCCCCCCCATCCACCTCCCTGTGCCCCCCCAGTCACTCGCTGGTGGGTTGGGCTGAGAGGCAGATGAGGCCTTGGCTGTGTGTAATCCCTGCTCAGCAGTAGCTAAAACATCCCTGTGTTTTCAAAGCTGTTTCCAGCAGAAATCCAAAACATAACCCCATACTAACTACTGTGAAGAAAATTAACCCTATCCTAGAAAAAAACAGCACACCTCCTCTTACTGTTGTCTGCTTTGATGTTTAGACATGTCTGAGACCATTCATGTGGACTGTGGAGTTAAAAAATTAAAATAAAGGAAGAATATGAATTTGCATAACCAGCACTTAAAGGACAAGGGAAAGACAGGAAATTCTGTTCCCATGCTGCTCCTATCTAAGTGACTTCTGATGTGTTCTTGCTTTCTAGGATACATGTGGAATATTCTGTCACTGTCTCTAACAGGTGCTGCAGGGGATATGAATAACATGTTAATGGTAAAGAAATTTGGAAGTAAGATAGTGGAGTTGGAAATTAAGAGAAATTAACCAAGTTGGGAAGTGCATTTAAAGTGCTATTAAAATTCCATTAGGCAAACAGGGTGAATGTTAATTCAGCTATTTTCCATTAGTTATGAAATATTAGCTTGGCTATATACTTGAAAGAAGTGATGATGTTACCTTAGCCACTGTGGTCTAAGCCAAAACACAATTTGTAGGTGGAGGTAATAGGTGTTGTTAGACCTGCAAAAATCTGACAATCTTACCACTTCAGTTTCTTGTTCTCGCCTTTTTCTGTCTCCAGGCCTGTCTTTCCAAGACTTCTACCAGCAGTGTCGGGAGGCTTTCCTTGTGAACAGTGACCTGACACTCAGAGCACAGCTGACAGAATTCAGGGACCACAAGCTCATCCGAACCAAGCGGGTGAGTTGGGGAAAGAAGATAATTCTGGGTATTCAGCCACTTTAAACAACAAAGATGCTTACTTGCTACTAAGTATCCCTAAGGCACCACTCTGCACTGCACTGTGAGGCTGTTTTGTTTGAAGCACCTGGGAACTAGCAAAGGGCTGAAATTCTGTAATTGCAGCTCTTTCCATGCCTCTAATTTATCAACACCCTTTACATGGATAAGGGGCTGTAAAAATGCAGTGTGCTTTGGTTACTCAGCAACCTACAGGTCTCTTCTTCCTGAAGACCTCAAGTAACTGGAGCCTGCCAGTCTGCTTCCAACTGTTACCTGTATTTGCACAAGGGAAGAATGCAGGCTAGTCCTAACAATGAGGCAGTATAGCAGTACTAAGTATGACAAGTTGAGAAGCTGTGTAGTGTCAAACTAGTAGAGCCCACCAGATGATTTTTCATATACTGACTTTTCTCAGTATTTGTGCATTTCCAGAGTTGCTCTAGTGAAATATACCTGGTTTTTAACAACGTAGTCCTTCTGAATGCTGGCCAGTTCTCACCCAGACTGCAAATAAACATTGCAGTGCTATCTAGTGGCTTGCATTGCACTGTGCACTGATGTTAACAGAATGTGTATGCATGTCTGTTCTCAGGGAGCTGATGGTGTGGAATACTTATTAATTCCTGTAAATGACAGTACCTTGACCGACTTCTTAGAGAAAGAGGATGAAGATGTATAACGTCTCTCTATTCATAAAGCGTCTACGGCAATTGCTCTCAAGGGCTGCTGGAGGGGGGCCTATACTCAGATCTCTCCAACCCCAAGGCTGCTGGACTACTTAATGAAATGTAATAATTGTAATGAATCATGCTTCTTGTTCAACTACGTTGGGTAGTTTGGAATGATGACTTCTGTAAGCAAGGCATCTCTTGCTTTGTAGTTAGATCTGTCTGCTTCATCTCTTAGCTCAGATGATACCTTCTTCATGTCTGTGCAGCCAACCTTACAGCTAGAAAAACAAAATTGGTAGGATTGTGCCTTCTGCTCTCTACCTCACCAGACGTGAGGGTTTGATTGGAGCAGTTTACTTGGGAAGTGCAAATCACTAGATGGTCAGAGCTTTAGTTAGTGCTAGTGGTGTAGCTTTTCTCAACTGAGTGCTTTCCAGTACTCCGTTACCAGTTAGACAAGACTAGCTTCCAGTATATGAAGAAGCCAAGATTTAGAATGCTAAGAGACCTGCCTCAACTGCATGAGGAAAGGAGAAACTAATGGGTGTGGGACACTGTGGGTAACTTATTAAAATCTGGCAATAGAACGGAAGGACTTGGCCCAAACCCAAATCCTTTTATAAGAAGATTTAGATAATCAGAATTGTTACAGACTCATGTCATTGCCAGTTGGTGAGGCTGAGAGGATCCAGTTCCTTTCATCTTCTTCATGGGTTGCAATCCAGGAATATGAAGAGGCTGTAAAGTTTTTTTGTTTATATTTGAAAAACTTGATTATATATATGTATTTTTTTATATCAGGAGTGTCCACTGATCCTGGAGGAGGCCTTAAATGCCACTTATAAGCTCTCCCTTTTTTTAAGCTCTTAGAGGTTGGGAGACTGCTGAAGTTTGACAGCTTTTCTTCACTTTTTTTCTCAGGTATGTGGGAGTAAACCCTATAGTTCCATCAACTGTAGTCTGCCAGCCAGACTTCAGGGACTCTGTCTAATATTTGGTAGCTGTGTTACAGCTCAATGTTGTAATAGTTGAAATCAATTGAATAAAGTATTTCATTTATTTTAATTAGCTTGTCTTGTCTTCCACAATCTTTTTATATTACAGGAAGATAGAGATCCTTCTGGCAGTTGTGTGAAAGCCTAATTTTCATTATTGTCAAATATCTGTGCAAATCCTCATACAGTGTGCAGAAGATTTCAAACTAATTAGTAAGAATACTTTATATTGTTTCTTATAAGGTCTCAAAATTATTTTGCCTGCCTTTTAATCCCAGTATATAGCTTTTGAAGAGAACCAAAACATCCCATGGGATAATATTGTTACCTGGTCTACCCTTCACTGACAGAAGCAACAGACAGAGGTTTACAGCCTGACTTCTGTTTGTGTTGAAAACATGGGGTATCTACTTACCCACTGACAATATGATTCTTCAAATATAGGACCTAATTAGCTTTACTGGAGAGTCTGATGGGGAAAATGGTACATGCCAGCAGTCTCCAGCTTCTTCCCCCAGAACATTTTCCAACTAACATTCCCTCCTAATGGCACTTGTATCCATATTTTACAGGCTGCAATTCCAAAACTTTGCAAAATGCATGAGATCCTGCCTATCACTAGTTGGGCTATCATCAGAATCAATAAAACTGGGATCAAGGCATTGTGTCTTACCCAGATCCTGTAAGTTAGGTGTAGAGTTCAAGAACAAGAACTCTGCCACTTGGAAGAGTTGTGTTCTTGGGAAAACTTAAAATTATTGTAGCTAAGCAGCAACCACATCCTATTTGGAAGTCCTCTGGCTCTCTCCACAATTTCTATGACTCTCAAGATTTAATTTATATTCTAAGTACATATGGAAGACACTACCTAACGTGTTTACAGATAGTGATACTGTGGTGCATTTTCAGTGCAATTATATCTGGTTTGCTAGATGTTAAATTTACTTTAATGAAGTGCTATAATCATCCTGAGTTCAGAGTTATCTGATAACAGTGTCAGTAGACTATGCGATGCCCATGCAGGCCAAGAGGAGGGCTGCAGGAGATACCACACATCTGCTAAGAGAAGGTTAAGTGTGAATCAGATTTTGGCTGCTGTTGATTCTGTCATGCAAGCGGGCAAGCTAAAGAAAATTACTGTGAATTAATTCCTGTGGGTTTTGTGTTAAAAATAATTTATCCTGATTTCATGCTGTTTCTGGATAATTACCCCATCTAGGCATTAATTTTCAGTGTCTTGAATTCTGTATATGTATTAAGGTAGTAGCATTTTAATGTCTTCCGTAATAATACAGAACTGTTGAATTCAGAGGGATCACTCCCACAGTCCTTTCCTTTCCTTGGGAAAGAAGAAATTTCTTCCTACTTCCTGTTCCTCAGTTTACTGAGGGGTCTTCATGGTACTAATAAGAATGATGGCCTTTATATAGCCTCAGTAGCTTCAGATAATACTGGAGTCATCTCTTTCCATTTACATTTAAGTAGAACAAGACATATGCAATTATGTGATAAAGACATTGCTTGATGAGCCAGTTATATTAACTTAAAAGGATGGTGCCAAGATCTTTAAAATTTGCAATGGCAATATTTTCATTTTGTTTAAATACTCTCCTGGTGTGCACATAATCCAGAGATGGTAAGGTATGCATGCAACTGGGAGATATTTTTTTTCTTTTCAAAAAACCACACCAAAAAACCTAACTTAAAAAAATAAAAACCAAGCATTATCAGTGGTGAAAATGCTACTTTTTCAGTTTTAGTAATCCTGTAATTAAGAGCCATAGTTACAGAAACCGTTTTTAAAAGAAAGTAACAAAGGCACCTTAAATTAATTTACAGTTTTTCTAAGGAATTGAGCTTTAACCTTCCAAAGCTTTTTTAATTGAAAGTCCCTCTATTAAAAAGCCTTAAAGCTGCATTCATGGTAGATTGTGCAATTGAATACTAGTACCAAGTACTTGAATTGTGTTCTGTATTTGCATATGATTGGTGTTTTAATAAAACTGTTAATGCAGATGGGTGATCCACACCCTTTCATTAACTTACCAGGAGATTTATTAGCTACAGCATCAGCCATCTTGTACTGACAAGATTCAACATAACTGCAGTAAGGTAGAATGGTTCTATAAGCTTGAAACTGGAGATGTCAGGTTTTTAATTTTACCCAAACCATTCCTTGAGTATCATGGTTATCAAATATATCTAATAAGAGTAGGCAGTAACAGTAAATTTATTCAAGTGTAGCCCAGTAATTGAGTAAGTCGACCTTCTGTAGCCCAAACCAAGCATTTATTTATGTGACAGATGACAAAATATATCCCAAATCTTGAGGGAACTTGCAATACAATCATTCTGTACTGAACCAATTCAGAGCATTGTCATTAAGCTTGCAGTTGGATAGATCTGTGCACGATACCATGAAACTCTTGACTGAATTCTCTTACTCCTGTTTTTTTTTTTTTTTCCTATGCCACCTGGAGGGGATCTCTATCTTTCTCAGACACAATTATGTTGATTTTGTTCTGTAGATGGATAGCGAGCATGTCACGCAGCTCTGACAAGAAGCCTCGTTCAGTGTTACTGTGCTCACACAGAATAACACTTATCCCATTGGCAACTGCATCCAGAACGTCATGGTGGGACATCTCTCCTGCCATTTTGAGAAAGAAGTGCCATATAGATCACCAACAGTGCAGTTTAGGTAACCAGTTCTTTGCAATGTGTGCAGAATCTTAGCTAGAAGCTACGAAGACATAACAGGGGATAGAGCCTACAAGGGGGAATACAACAGTATAAGAACATGAAACATTCCTACTCTATGGTGTCCCTTGAAGGACTTTCAATTGATATCCCCCATTATCAGCTGAGGCAAAACAACAGAAATTCCTTGCCCTCTTCGAATAGTGGTAGATTCTGCCACTTTGGGCAGGCAATAAGAGTGCACAGAGTGGTTTGGAAGTGGAATGTCTGGATGTCATGTGGGTTACTGTAACGGAGGACAGCAATTGGGAAGCCTTGCAAAGAGGTCGTCTGAGGATCAGCTCTGCAGGGCTGTATTATATATAAGGGGGAGATAGGACATGCCTTGCCAGAGAACTTGCTGGAATTAAGTACTACAGAATGCAAGGCAGCCTTCGCATTGTTGAGCAAGCTGTAGGGAGTAGCTGTTGCACCATCAGAAAAGAGGATAACAGACTAAGGGCCCCTCTTGTCACATACACTATGGGGTTCCTTTGAAAGATTCTGTAGACTACATTATATTCCATTTTCCATTAGGGAATTCTGTAGGGATCTGAGGAAAGAGCTTGTGTCTTGCCAAAGCAGAAACACACTGAAGGTTGCAATAGACTGCCATCAACACTGATTTTGTGTTGAAATAATGCATATATAGCAATATTTTAATTCAAATAACCTTCACTGTGCCACACAGCCATCTGATCCACATAATCTCTAATGCTATTAATTCTATTGTTCCAATAACTGTTTCTCAACAGAGAATTCTTTCTGGACAAATCTTTCAACAGCCAGTCAACTCTCTTCTTTTTTCCTGTTTTTCTTCTAGTGACTATTTTTATAAAGAGAATGAAACAGCAACATAATCTTTTACCTGTGAGATAGAGGTCAGCTTCCATTCCCTTCAGGACGCTGCTCCCAGAACCAGCACACAGAGCAGCTTTCTTCACTGGTGATTCTGCAGGATACAAGGTGCCACAGTTAAACTCCTTTCCCTCTGTTCAGCCTTCATGTCAGTATTGCTATCAGCTGCTTCCCAATACTACCTTGATTTTTACAGTCAATGTAAATTTGTTGAGGGAAGACACACATGTCATCCTGAGAGAGTCACAGGCCTGCAACGTCTCTGCTAATATAGCAAAATCCTCTGTGTACCAAATATATATGTAGATTTTTTTCTTCAAGGGATAGGAAAGTTTGCAGAAAACTACTGCATGGAGGCTGGCTGCTGGCTTGTTCTTTCCTAGTGAGGTGTTCTTTAGTTAGGTTTCTGAACCCTTTAATAGGCTGCTACTCTTTCCAGGACACTCATGTTCCACCATCATTAGTTTTCCAAATAACGACGCCACTAAGGCAACATCTTGCCTCTGAGATATACCCGTTCCCAACTTTTAGCTCTCAGAAAGTCACAATACAAGCTGAGAGTTGCTCCATGCCATTCAAAATTCGCCCATTTGCTATGAATGGTGATTCAAGCTATTACATATGTGATAGTGACATGAAATTTAATTCTCCATATATATTACATTCACTAAGGAGAGGGGACACACGACACAGAGTTTTCAAATTCTATTAAGGTTTTACAGTATGTTCCCCTGTAATTACTGTTGATTTAAGTGGTCATACCACTACAATCCCACACCATAATGAGAGGCTTCAAAATAGTTTGGGGATTTTTTAGTGCAATTGATAGTATAAGAGGCTTCTAATAAGACTTCTGTCTCATTAGTTACAATGAGTTCTTGACAAATTTGCTCTCACAAATGCTAATATCTGTGCTTCTTGGAGATTAGGATACATAGCTGGGATAAGAGGATGCTTGCTGCACGTTTTACTAGTGACCCGCTGTTTGAGCTAGGATAGTTCACCTTCTTTGCCACTATTTTTCTTTCATTAAAACATGGATAGTTACACATTCATAAGGATACCATAAAATGTCTTACTATTTTAAGGTGCTCTAAAATTTAAGTCAGTCACAAATGGGAGCGTACAATGAAATAGTACACATTTATGTCTGATACCCTGGGGGAAAAACAATCTTAGTTATTACACAAATTATGAAAAAGGATGTCTCGTATTCAAGTTGTGTTGTCCCTTCTTCACAGTGACAACCAGCGTAATACAGAACTTCCAGTTAAAAATACAGGTAAGATTCTTTCTGCATGATTGTATCCCGTAAATTCTAAAATGTTATTTCTTGTCTTTAACAGTGCTTCATACTACTTGGAAATAAATCTACACAGGGCAGCAGTATTTCACACATTCACGCTCCTTGTCTTCCTGGAATACTAGTTCTTATGGACAGTCTTATTTGCAGGCCTGTTTACCTAGCGTCTTGCCCATTCCCACAGCTAAGCGGATGTAGGGTAATTTTAGGTGGCTTTTGATACGCTCAATTATGTCTGACAAGGAGACTGGCTCGTTCAGTGTGCACAGACGTCCCATTCCAGTATGGGGAAGAAGAGGCTGAAAAGAAATTAAAATTGCTGTGAGAAAGCTGACTCCAGAAGTTTGCATTGTATTGCTTTCCATACTGTACAAAGATGAGTCTATTGGGCATTCAGGAATGCCTCTAAACTTTACAAAAGATTATCTGTGTGATGTTCTCGAATGTAATGTACTAACTACACTAGCTATTGGAATTGATGTAAGAATTGGTATAGGCCACACAGCAGTTTTCATTGTTTTGGAAAATGTGTGTGGCTTCAATTCCCCACAGGCCAGTATTTCAGAGCACTAACAGAGTAGCATAGGAAACCTGTGATGCTACTGACTACTGAATTTCAGTGTTTAGGGCACTCAGCTCATCAAAGTAATACGTTAACTGGAAGTAATACATTATTTTGTTACCTTTTGTAGTAAGAGAATCTCAGTCTTGTGATAAAGAAGGCTGTTCTGGGACAATAATGCCACCACCTCCAACAATGCTTTCTGAGAGCAGGTCAAACTGACTCGTGTTTGCTCCTCCCCTTCAACCCTGAGGAAAGAGATGCTTGGTGCTTGTTAAGAAACTAGATAAAATTTCAGCATCATATTAATATAAAACAAATCTGTTCTACCCCAGTGGCTCTTCTACCCCAAAGAAAGAGAATAAGAAGGAACTGTAATAGCCTAGCCTAGTCCATTCTACTCTCTTGGAAGAAATAGATATGGGAATTTAACTCACCTGTCCTCATCAGATTTCCTGTTAATACTCTTGCTTACCACCTCTCATCTATGTGATGCTACACCGAGCTACGCTTACCTTTTAGTATAACAGATTGATCAGAAAGGGATGGTTATTCCTTAACTTTCTAGATCTGTTGCTGAAAAAAATAGCAGCAATGCACAGAGGAACAAAGTGATTACAACAGTAAAATACAATTCCAGCATCTTACTGTTTCAAACAACAGAAAGAATACAACGTTAGAGAGTGAAGCAGATACCTGGCAGGGAGAGTAGTGAGACAGGAGATCTCTTGGATGTCTTTGATTTTGGACAGCACCGTGTCCAGATGCTCAGTGTTGTCTGTGCAGAATTCTACCCGGTGAGTGCCCTCAGCTGGATAGCTCGGTGCAGTTGATGGATGCAGTGGGATGGAAGTACAGGCACCTGAGAAAACAGTACAAGATTGATGAATAAAGCTGAGTAACCAACCTAATACTGATTTGGCACGTATGCTAAAGAAGTGCAACAAATGGATGCAAATTTTGCACTTGAATTCATTTTCCCTGACCAGAACCGAGGACTTCTTGCCCTGTTGTCTCTATTAGGCACAGTCTATTTTAAGTGCAAAGAAGTTGATGGTTATATATATTGTCATTCTTAATGCCATCTGTTTTACCCTAAGAAATGTACAAAACCAAAACAGTTTCTGGTTTGTAAATCAGACTGGAAGAGACGTAGCTGTTCTCATTTATGAGCCACAATGCAGAATAAAAATCTAAAAGAATTTCAGATTCCTTTGCAAACAATGAGATTTTGCACTTTGTAAATTAAAAGTGGCGATTCAAAGTCAGTGGTATAAACTTTTCAACCAAGATGGGCAATAAATACGCTGCACCAGTTCTGACTACATCCAATACGACAGTCAAGCATCTGAAAATGTCCTCTAGTGTTTGTATCTGGTATTCCTCACCAAGATAAATTCCTTAAAATACGGTTAGAGTACTTAGAAGTACTAGAAGAATATTGGGGGAAAAAAGTAGTTTAACAAAAAAAGTCCTCAAATCATACCTGTAAAAGCTGAAATAAAGGAAAATGAGGGATGGTCCCCATATAAAATAGCATATAAAGATGAATAAATGAATAACTTTTTTTGTTTTTAACAGAATCTCACCAAGCCCCTTTGTTAGCCAGTTATTGACTCCGTGAGGTATGGCATCATATGCTGTATGTGGAGAGTAAATCCCGATTCTGTGCTCCAGGGCTCGGACCACCAGCCGTTCCTTCCAGGTCTTCCACGTTACTCGCTTGAGTGGTGTGAATATAGGAGGGTGGTAAGAAAGAATAAGGTCTGCCTTCTTCTGCACGGCCTCTTCCATCACCTCCTCCGTGAGATCGTTAGTGAGGAAAAGGGTGTTCACAGTGTGGGGAGGACTTGGTTCCACCAGCAACCCCACATTGTCCCAGCTTTCAGCCAGAGAGAGGGATGCAAAGTCATTCAGGGCAGAAACGAGCTCCCCGAGATTCATGAGGGAGTGGGAAGGCAAGTGGCCCAAGGCACGGATGCAGCGGAGAGGCCGGCGAAGCAGTTGTGTGCCAGGCAGCAGCATGCAGCTATCTGTAGAGGGGGTGAAAAAATAAAAATAAATAAAAAATGTCAGGAATAAGCCCAGGTAATTCACTGGCTGAAACCGCTGGCACACAGACCCCCCCCCCCCCGCCCCTCACCTCCGGGGCTCTCCCGGGAAGCAACACAAGCGACCCTGTAGAGTCGTGCAAGAAACGTAGGGAGCTGGAAATCCGTCCACCTCCACGCACTAACACCCACCCGCGGAACCCAACCGGCGAAGCGTTTGTGTCCGGCGGCGGAAAGATCAAGCGGGGCCGGGCCCGCTCCCCCACCTCCCGCCGGCGCCAGCGCAGGGCCCGGGCTGCGGGGCGGGGCCTGCGCGCGGCCCGGCCCCTTCCGGCGCGTGTGAGGCGACCCGGGAGGCGGCGGGTTCGGGTCCGGCCTCGGCAGGTTTGTGCGAGGCCTCCGGGGGCGCCGGGCGAGGGTGAGGGTGAGGGTGCCGGGCCGGGGCGGCAAGGGAAGGGAGGGGCGAGCTGGCGGCCGCGGGGACGGAGGAGCGGCGGTGGGGTTGCGGGCGGAGTCAACGCGGCGTGTGCGTGGGCTTTCGGTGGGAGCACCTCGAATCGGCAGAACGGGAGCCATCGCGGCAGGCTGCCGCTGGTCCGACAGGAGCCGAGGGCGGGCGGGTGGGTTGCGGTGGGCGCGGTCGGGCCCCGGCGTGTTTGACGGGGGCCGGCTGCTCGTCCCGCCGCCCGGGGCCGCGCTGAGGGCGAGCGGGGTCCCCGGCTTCTGGCAGAGGCCTCGGCGCGCCTGGGGGCTAACCAGGGAGAGCAGTGCGCGGAGGAGAGATAGCGTGTAAAGCTGTTGATTTTTACGTAACTACGGTTTTATTATCATCGTTCCACATGCTGTATTTGAAAATACAACTAAGAAAAGAAGTTTGAGCCTGTGCTTGCATTCAGGTACCTGTCTGTTGCAGGCACTGACAACTGTCAGAAGGTGGCTCCAAATAACACGTCCATTTCGGTACTGGCATGTGGCTTTTCTCTGTTAATTTTTGTCATTTATAAAACCATCATCTTTGGAAGTGCTGCGATTGCTTAGTTCAAACTTTCATCTGAGGAAAGGGTGTTTTTTGCCCCCAACCCTTTTCTTTAAGTTACTTTGTTCTACTCGTATCTCATTCTTTATATGCTGCATAGTTGCATAATGCAAGTAAAACGTTTATCCACAGAGTCTCTTGAATGGTACTGTAAAACTGTGGGGTGTAAAAGGATATAACCACACAAATATTTTAGAATTAAAAAGAATCGGGGACTGATGGAAAAAAACCCACAGAATTTTCAATGTTTTCTTTGCAGGAAATTGCTGTATACAAATCTAACTCAGCTTTTTGATGAGAGAATATGGTGAGAGCAATATCACTTTTTACATATTTTAATTCTTTCTGAAATGGTCATCTCTTAGAAAGCGAATAGCTGCTCTGCATCTCAAAGGATTGCACATTTTACTCTGCTGTGAAGAATTTGTAATGAAAAGTTCAGGTTTTCATTTCAGACATTTAACAAGGTATTGTGAAAAGGAAAATAGGTCGGTTTACATCAGTCTAAAATATAATTAGACTTTTAATTCTAAGATCCTAAATTTTAGTCCTACTTTGGCTAATACTTGGTAATCTAGTTTGGTTTCTTTTAACACAGAAGCATTATTTAGGTTGCAAGTGCATAGCCCTGCTTAAGCGTATGTAACCTACGCTTGCAGGCTTTCAAAAGTTTAGCAAATCAGGAAATAGAGGTAAGACTCTGTGTGTTAAACTGTATTAAACCTTTTATAGCATCTTCATGGGCATTGCAGGCAACTATCTTCACTTCTTTACTCGTATATTTCTGGAACAGTATGCCAGTATCAACATGATGCTGACTTTCATTAGTTTTCCTGTGCACTTATCCCCACAGTAAATTTTTTTTGCATAGTTTAGCACTTTTCATGGTATATTTGACTTGTAGGAACGTATTTGCTTATGTGGCTGGGTAACTGCCATTTTAAATTTTCTGAAGGTTATTTATAAATTTTTATTAAAAGTGTGTCATTTTGTAGATTTGCTTGTTTGTGAAGGCAAATGTTATATGCTGCCATTCAGAACTAGCCTTATCACTCAAAAGGCTACAGGCAAGTAACACACATCAGTTGTTCCTCTGGTTGTAAACCAGTGAGGTATGTGCATCACACTGTCATCTGAACTGTATATAACCTTAGTTCTTCGACTTTACAATTAAGTGACTGAGCAGGTCCAGTTGGCAAATGACTAATGTATATCGAGTGTAACAGCATGAAGCAGAGCTTCTGCATTACCATGGCAAACTTGATTTGTCCTGAACCTAAATGAAACCAAGTGCTTCCTGGTGGAAGGTTTTCTTCACTGTAAATGTAGAAGGTTTGTGACAGTAGCCTTGCCTTGCCTATGGTCAAAGGTTGAAACTGTGGTTATATGCAGTGGGAACTAACATATATTCTTTGTGGGACTGGGAAATAAAACTGAGTCTGTTAGTATTTCATTGCTGATTTAATTATTTTCTGCCTCTTGCTCAGGCTGTCACACTGCACACTGATGTAGGAGATATAAAAATTGAACTATTCTGTGAGCGTACACCAAAGACTTGCGAAGTAAGTGAAGTAACAGGAGCAGGATTGCCTAGTGTTGAAACAAAGCAGTAGAAATAGTGAAAAGTGTAGAGGAGGTGAAGTGGCTTTTGCAATTCATTTTTTCACGTTATGGAGTACTAACACTTTAAGCTAGTCCAGTGCCTATTCCACTTGTGGAACTTGTGCACTGTGTCATATTGCCTAGAGCTTTGCTGCCTGTTTCTCACCAGATAAAGTTTAACTAAGGGCCACTTCTCTTTAAATTCCAGCATCTCCAAAGTGTCCTTTGCCCTTCAGGGGAAATATGGCACATGGCCTGGGACTCCCAAATTTCCCTGGGTTTGCTCACACTTGCACAGATTTGATTTTAATTTAAAAGAGTGAAAATCACTCCCAGTTTGTCAGGGGCCCCAGTTGTTTTCCTTTCTGCAATAAACTTAAGCTTAAATTGAAGTAATTTACTTTTTAACTAACAAAGCTGGGGCAGGAAGTTATTGATTACAAAATTACATTTACAAGATGTTGAACGGAAGTGATACTTCTGAGCATGTCTCTGGCTTCTTACTTGTTCCTAGAGTCAGACAACTTTGTGCTGCAAGCTTTATTTAAAATCCCTTGTATCTGTGACAGTGTCAAAGGAGCACATGAACTATAATTTGTTCATGACTGTTCTGTGGCAATACTCTGTGGAATTCACATGGTCACAATGCAAAGCAGAGGCAAAGGGGTTAGTCTCGGTCTTGCCAGTGCTGTCATTTTAGTGAGAAGATACTGTTTCTGAATTGTATGTTAATATGGTTTGTTTCCTTTCCTTAGAATTTCCTGGCTCTCTGTGCTAGTAACTACTACAATGGATGCGTATTTCACCGAAATATAAAGGGCTTCATGGTTCAGACTGGAGATCCATTAGGTAAAATCTGTCCAGCTCTCTCTACAGAAAAATGTACAGAAAAATAAAATATAAACAAATAAAAAGAAATTACAAGTATGAATATTAAAACCAAAATGTAAATAAAGTAAAAATAGAAGAATCACTGTTTTGTTGGTAGAGGTTTTTATGATAAGTTTTCTGTGGCGAGTTTACAGAAGAGCAGCCGTTACCCTAGTCCTAAATAAACATGCAGTAGTAAAGCATTCTACAAACTTTAGTTTTCCCAGCTGTTTCCACTAAAGATAATGGTTCTGCTGACTTACCAGCTGTTGAACAGGGAGCAGTTGCTACTCTGGTTTCTGCTGGAAAGGCTACACTGCCTCTAAAGCATTTGGGGAACATGTCCCATGCAGCGTGATTTGTAGGGGAGAAAATCTGATTCAGCTTTGAGTTTGTACTTATACTGACTTTAATTTGAGGATATGTCAGTGTACTGTTCTGCTACTTAATAGGTGTTCGTATTATAGAGTTATGTCTCTGCTCAGTATCAAGACATAAGCACCCAATCCCTGCCTCAAACGAATTATAGGCTATCTTGCGTCTTTGTTGTAAAATGTTGTAACAGTATGTAATTTCTAGATTTTTCAGACTGCAAATCCAGTAATCTGTTGTGGTGCTTCTTTGTCAGGTACTGGGAAAGGAGGTAACAGCATCTGGGGCAAGAAGTTTGAAGATGAATTCAGTGAATACCTAAAGGTATTTCTGTGCTCTCAATATACGGTTATGTTTTTATACAAATTTTATTTACAGATTGGAGAACAATTGGCATTGTGTTGTACTGTATTAAATACCTCTTTTGTAACTGTGAAACAAAGTATAATCCTGCAATAAAGGGATAGAAAGCTTCTTATTAAAATAGGAACAGGCGTTTCTGTAGTTGGCAAGTTAGGTTTGAGGGTTTTCATCACTGAGAACAGAAGTAGAAAGAATTTGTAACAAAGTATTTTTCATGCAGTGAAAGCACATAAGTAATTTTCATTGTAATTTCAATTTTGAGGAGCTAATTATGGACTGTGATGGAATTGATTCTCAACCAAGATTTTTTTTTTCTCAGTAATGGTACTGAGGCAGAGTACTAAGTCACAGAGCACTTTATACAGGTTAAAGTCCTGCTTTCACAGATGGCTGTTCACGTTGAGGTTTTTTCCCCTCTTTCAGCACAGTGTCCGTGGGGTAGTTTCAATGGCAAACAATGGTCCGAATACCAATGGATCGCAGTTCTTCATCACTTATGGCAAGCAACCGCACCTGGACATGAAGTACACTGTGTTTGGAAAGTAAGTATCCAACTGCATGCCACCTTGCTGTAGTGTGTGAAGGATCTGAAAATTTCAGGGCACATACAATGCAAATTTAGAAGCTACTGGTTCTAAAAAACTTTAGAATATTGGGTGTGTATATGTGAATGTATGCTCTTGCACTGTCACCAGAATTACTTGCTCCAAAATGAGGCTCCCTTTTTTTTCTTCGTAGTAGGGAATTCAGTGGAAATAGGCATATTAAAAATTACCTCAAGAATGGAGCTTTTTTACTTTCTGCTCCCTGACATGCCCCCCACCCCCTTCCACCCCTCACTTATTCCAGCTTGCCTTTTCATCCATGCCCAAACTGCTGCAACCTGATTTTAAGCAAACTCCAGAACAACTGGATACACAGTTACAGGGTTTAGTGAGAAGCAAGAATCTGGTTTGGGACTGGAATTGAGGATGGGTGTGGTATTGACATGGTCATGCCTCTATTAAGGTGGAACTTCCTGTTGGTCAGATAAAACTCACAGAATTGACAGTTTATAAAATCAGATGAGGTTGTTTAAGATGGGTCATTATTTTAAAACATTTTTATGTTATTAGACGCTACTGATAATATATCATCATTAAAGCAAATGTTTAATTGTTGAGTCTTTTAGATACTACTTTTTCTATCAAAATCATGGTAATATCTTTTTTTCTTGTTAAATTGTCTCTGCTGTACAAGTGAATCTGCTGAGAAAAAGTTGTCTTTATTAAATGAGGTTAAATATTCAGATGAAACTATTGAAATGTGAAAATACTATTTTCTACCACTTGTATTGTTTATAGGCATCTAAATGTAGGTGTTTCTTCCATTTCTGAGTTTGTTTAGAGGCGTGATTGAAAGTAGGTTTTTTTTAGACATCTTTCTTAGAAAAGAGTAGATGCTCTGACAGGTCAACTTTGCCAGATTTTCTGTGGCAGTTTAAGATGCTTAGGCCACAGTTCCAGAATCAGCAGAACAGCATATGCAGTCCCTGCTGGCCCACAATCCAGCATCCTAGATTCAAAGGGTTGATGAATGTGACTGAACTGAACTGTGAACAGCACAGCATGTTTTCTGCGAAGTCCATTTCTGGGGAATAAACTGTCAAAAGATTTACCATCGCTAGTTACTTAAACAAAAAGAAGTAAGAAGTTTATTAGAACAATCTCTCTTTGCACTTCTTCAGCCTGAACAGGAAATCCAAAAGCCTAAACATATTTGTGCCATTAGATTTACACTGTTATTAATGATCCTGTCCAATCTTGTCTTTGAGTCAGATGGTTAGAAATTACAATCTCACATTTGGAAATTGATTTTCCAGCCATAGGATTACAGTAATTCACAGTGAAGTTTGGTATGGCCAGTGTCTTGATGGTACCTATACCTAGTCCTGCCTGCTAGGAAGTGCAGCCAGGGTCTTTGTACGGCTGTGGTTGGTATAAAATATGATACTGGCAGGTCAATGAGAAATATTTTTTTACTTTTTATCAGAATCTGTCACGGATGCTTAATATTTCCTTTCAAAATATGTTATATGCCATACAGAATGTTTTGGCTGTCTTATTTGGTTTGCTTGCAAAGTCTTTGCCCTGTGAAACTTAATTATAAAGTGCTTTGAAATATCTCAGTTGTGAAATTTTAATCATTATTAGGAAGAGATTCCTAGTACTTCTGCTTTCCTTCCAGAGTTATTGATGGCTTGGAGACCCTGGATGAGCTGGAGAAGCTACCTGTGAATGAGAAAACTTACCGCCCTCTCAATGATGTTCGCATTAAAGATATTACAATTCATGCCAACCCTTTTGCTCTGTAGCCACAGAGTGCCTCAACACATTCTTTAAAGACTGGTCAGATTGACTGCTGGATTATGGAGTTTAAAGTGCCGTTAAAGAGGGTTACTTGAGCTGGATCATACCTTTTCTCCTTGAATGCAGGATTTTCAGGAGTTGTGACATTGTTTGGGAATTGTCACAGAAGAGTCTTGTGCTCTAGAAGCCAGTTTTTCCAGAGTATATTCCAGGATTTTGATTTTTAACCATTGCTTTTTATACTTGTAAAATAAGACAAAAGTTTTAAAAAAATATATTTTTTTTTCCAAATCCTTTGTATTCTGCCTTTATCTTTCTCAGTGATACTGTGTTGAAAAAATGTCCTTTGCTACAATTTCATACCACCAGTTTTCTGAAACTTTTTCATGTAAACCCTGACCTTCCTTTACTGGTTTTTAGAAAACTGAGTAAGATGTGCAATTTTTTTCCTCTAGGTGAGAGCAGTGTCATAGATGAAACCTTTCTCTCCTAGCGGATTAAAGGCCGTGTTCGGAGGAGTGCTTGCTCTTGCACTGCTGTGTTGGAAAGGTAACCTCTTCAGCCTCCCCGAAAGGTAGATTGGAAACAATTGCCTCTGCCTCTGGCACAATGCTTTTGGTATGAAAGAGTGTTTGTGTCTTTACATTGCTGTTGATCAAAACTAGGTAGTTGTTTGGTCACCTTTGACACCAAAATGTTATTGGACTCAAATAAGAAAGTCTGCAAGGAGATACAGAGATAGCTGAATATCAACCAGTCGAGAGGAAACATAATGCACGCATACATATGTGCACACGTGTGTGTATGTGTGTGTGTGGATACATTTAGCGCTGATCCTATGCTCAAGTCACTTAGTATAGTAAGCATAAAATGAACTGACTTAATCACGGAAAAGAGAGTGATCTGTATGCATTAAAAAAGCAGTTCTCCACGTTGGGCATGCTGGGAAAAGCAGAATGTTCTTGCTCTTCCTTGTTGTAGATTCTAAAAATGCATTTTGGCATCAGTTCATGAGAGACCTGGACAAGAGAGAGTAGCAACAGTGGTTCCTGCATCCAACTCCTGCCATTCTGGGCTTCTTCCCCCTCAATTGTCTTTGGGCTCAGTCAACATCACTTAAAGTCCTTTCTCATATATATGCTTTTTAATCCTTGGGATCTCCAGGTCCAGCTGACTTGCAGTCTGCTTCAGACGAGTATTTCCTGTTCTGAGATTTCACCTCTTAAAATAAAGAGGAGAACTTATTTGCAAGAGAAAGGCAAAGGTATTCCAAGTACAGATTGCTGAGGCATTAATGAGAAGAGTTAATCAGTACCTTCTCTCTGGACCTAAGCTTCTATATACTGTATGGAGTGTTGCTTAAAGCTCCTAGCCCTTGCTCCACACTAAATATATTTTACTGTAATACTTCAGTCAGTCAGGTGAAGAATTTAGTTATTTCAGCTCTGTGCTCTTTGTCTACCTGCCATTACTACCGGTTATATGGAAGAAGCATGCAACTGCATGTTTGGCTGCCACACTGACACTACCACCATGCAGAAGGAAGGACATACTGGAAACTTTCCTGCAGTGCAAAAGAACCAGTAATTTAAAATGCTGACATCTAGCACTGAACTGGAAACAATTTCAGGTCTATTTTTTTCCTTTACAAAAAGAAGGCTTTTATACAGAATGTGTGAAATACAGGGATACCAAGCAATTTGCTCTTTGGAGGTTACATTAAATTTAGATCCATTTTAATCTACAGCTGTATATTGAAAGGAGAGTGATCTTACGGGACAGGATTACATCCTAACTTTAAAAACTGTACTATGTCTATTTTCCTGTTTGTGGCTCTGAACCTTTCCCAGATAGAAGAGGGGGAAAAAGGTTGGTCCCATCCACTTGTTGAAGAGGAAGCAGGACAAAGTAGGAAGCAGGCCAGCTTTGGAAGTACGTGATTTTTGTGGGTGGTCGCTGGGTACAGCATACATGCAATTTAGCTCTTGCATTTGGCTGTTGTGTCACCAGTTGTTTGGACTTGTGATATGTATAATCCTTTAAGTAGCAAAAATGTTGCAGATAGTACTGTTCTTATTGTTGTCGACTTGTGCTTTTTAAACTCCTCTGTTTAATTCCACCGGTCTGGTCCTTTATCATTAACACTACAGCCATAAGGTAAGTTCTGTCAAAATAAGTCTACTTCTGGAAAGAAAAATATGTACATTAACATAACAATCTTGCATTTTGACTGTGATGGAGGGTTTCATTATGTATATTCTAGATTGTCTCTGACCTTTTCTGGCAGTTTGGTGTTAGAGGTGTGTCATGCTGGAAACAGTACTTAGTCTGAGCTGAAGAGCATTGGACAAAAAGAATGGTTTATTATCTATGGACAATGACAAACTTGCACATGTAATGTACGTATCGTGTGAGGGTCAGTTGGGGAAATGACAGAAAAATACAAAGAGTGAGGAGAGTCACGTGTCAAGGCTGGAAGTATTTCAGAAGGTTTAGTCCTTTCCACAATTAAAAAAAAAGAAGTCTTGGGTTTTATGGTACTGATGTGTATAGGCTGTTGTAGTGTTTCAGGACTGTTTTATCCTCAGATGCTCTTTTTCTACATAAATTAGATTGCACAATGAGATGTTTGGCTGTTTATTAGGGGTTTTGGAGAACCAAGTTTCAGCTGTGGTTGGTTAGCTCTGCTGAGGTGACAACTGGTAGGAGGCTGAGAGGCTTGAAAGCTCCTTCTGAGAGAGGTCGTGGCTGAAGGGCTGCACCAGGCATGGAGCGGGGAGAAGGGTGGCCGAGACCTAAAACTGCCCTGTGTGCAGTAGTAGTGAGCAGCAGAGGTAGCAAAGGTTAGTTTTGTGGGAGGGTTTGGGTTGGGTTTTTCTTATTCTGTGGGTGTAGAAGACTTATCTATACTTTTACCTATAGAGTTGCATTTCTTTGTTTTCCAGTGGGTGTTTCTGTTCTCAAAAATGTGGCTAAAAGCTAGAGAAGGTATCACAAGAAAAAAAAAAAAAAAAAAAAAAAAGCATGCAACTGTTTGGAAATGTTTTTAATGCCAATGATTTCCAAAGATACCTTTGTTAGTCATATGTGGTCCTTTAAACCTCTGTTGATTTTAAAGCTGTGTACATGCTTTCAGAACCTCTAACAATTTGTCTAGGGAAGTAGAGAGAGAAATCACAGGCTTTATCACCAAAGGTGAGCAATGATGATTTACAATTCAGAGTATCACCAAAAAAGTGCAATCTTCTGGCATTCATTCTTAAATGAGGGTTAGGATATTTGGGGTTGTTCTTTTTTTGGTGTCATGGTCTTTCCAACTTTCTGGGCAGGAAAGCGGTTGAAGGTTTTGCATGGTGGGTTTACTTACGTAAACCTGCTTTAGCTGAGTTACCTGATGAGGCGTGCGGGGTTACCGTAACACGTTGCGGCAGGGCGAAGGGCGCCATCAGCGGAACCGGCAGAGCCAGGGGCTCCCTCCTCAGGCGCCGAGGCGAGGGGCCAGGACCGCTCGGGACCTGCCCGGGGCGGGGCGGGGGGAGCGGGGTGTCGCGCAGCGGCCCCGCCCCTCCCGCCTTGTGACGCCGCGGCTGTGACGCCGCGGGTGTGCCACCGCGCTCCAGAAAGTTCCCGGCAACGCCATTTTGTAGCGGGCTGCGGGGCGGAGGGTCGCCGGTGGCGGCGGCGGCGGCGGCGGGGAGAGAGAGAGCGGCGGCGGCGGCTCCCGGGCTGCGGAGGTGGGGGCGAGGGGAGGGGCGGCGGGGCAGAGCAGGAGGACGGCGCTGGGCCGGGCCGCCGCCGAGGGGAAGGCGGGGCGGAGGGCAGGGCAGGGCGCCGGGGCAGGAGGGTGTCTGCTGCCGCGGGGCAGGGCGGCCGGTGTCGCGGCTCGTCCTCGCCGGCGCGGGCGGGTCGGGCGGTCGAGGCGCCCCCGCCCCGGCCGCCATGTTGTGTGCCCGCGCCTGCTTCCGCGCGGAGAGAAAATGGCTCCGGCCGCTTGAGCGGGGGAGGCCGGAGCCCTTCCCGCCCCCCCCGCTCGGGGCCGGGGCCTCTTGCCGGCGCGGGGCCCCGGTGGGGCGCGGACCCGGGCCCCGCGCGTTGGCGCTGGGGGTGCGTGGGGGCCGCCCCGGCCCGCTCTCTCGGCGCGGGGAAGCCGCGGCTGCTGCGGGGCCCGGGCGCGGCGGGTGAGCGGGAGTCGCGGTGCGGTTGGAGAGGGAAATGAGAGAAAGGTGTGGTGAGTTACTTCCCTTCTCCTCTTCGAGCTCAGTATCGAGGAGAGAACGTGTAAGTTTTATTGGCGACTTGGCGCTAGGTGTTGTCCGGGAATCTACAGAAAGAAGCATGGTAAAGGTTTATGACAGGTTCCTTGAAGTCTTTAATTAAAAAGCACGCTGGGCAATCGCTGTATGCTGTTTAAGTACACGACAGCCTGCCTTTTTCCTGGCACGCGCACCATTGGGTTCCTGAGCAGCTTTGCGGAAATAGCCTGCACAGTACGCGTTTAAGTGTCTGAGCCATGATACTTCTTTTAAAAATCTTTTGTGAGGAGTAGGTTACTGGTTTATGTTCCCCTAGCAAAAATGGCTAATTTGAAAAAGCTCTTCAACTGAAAAAAAAAAATAATGTGGAAGAAAGGGCAGAGAAAAGAATGCAAATCAGGTAGTTGAGGAAACATCTCTATTATACTGTTAATTTGATAATTAAAGGCTTTGAAAATTAATTGTCTGTGGGATGTAATTCAAAGAGCAAAACATCTTTGTTACAGATGGGGCATTCCAGGCGAACTAATTATCCCGACTGGGATAAGAACAAAAGTCCAGATCGCAGAAGGTGTGACAGTGCTAGTAAGAGAAAGAGGACATTAAGTGGTGCGCAAGAGAAGCAGCACTGCAAACACGATCTGTCTAAACTTCCTGACAGGTAAATAACTTTGACTTTTAATACCAGCAAGCATATCTTTTAAGATTTCATTATTCTTATAAGGTCTTCTGATAATGTAATCATTTTTGAGTTGGAGATATTTCAAGAGAGATGTGCTACAGCTTAAAACAAAAAGCTGTCTTGATAGGAGTGCTAGGATTTTAATTGTTTATTTGATCCTTTGTTTGTAGTACCTGTTCAGAAAGCAAATCTGTAAATGAAAGAGACCACTACGAACGACGCTATGTTGAAGAATACAGAAACGAGCACAATCAGGGATGTGATACTGGGCATCACAGCAGCAAATCATCGGGTCATAGTGGGACGAGTAGTTATAAAAGGAGATATAAGACACATCACACTACCTGTCATCATCATCATTATCCACAGGTGGTGTGACCAATTTTAATTTAGGAATTTTTTTATTTTAAGATGATAGATTCTCATCTGGGCAGTAGTAATTGGCTCTGGGGGCTTGGGGAATTCTGTCAGTAATATTAATAGTTTATTCCTTTAGTTAATATTAGTAGATTACTCTTTTTGCTAGGATTTTATTTCCTTCGGTGAAAATGTATAGTTTGTAGGTATGCTTGTGATACCACAGAACGTAGTCTTGCTACTTGTTCATTGGATATGTATGAGCAGATTAATGAATACTAACCATCAATTGGAGTACTTGAAATATAGGCATCACTTTCATGCCTTCAAAATTTTTATTATGACAAGCATTTATTTCAGCCCTACTCAAAGATCCAAGCACAAGCTTTTTAACATTGCTTTTGACTAAGTATTACTGAAGTAGCAAGGAGATAATGTCAGGTTTTTACTTTTTCAAAAAATTTGTTAAGATGTTTTAAGTAGCGCTGAGAAATCCATAGAAGCAGATATGTTTGGTGTTTGCCCACTAGCAGGGCAGTTTTTCTGATCTTCGTTACTTATTCAACTCTTAAAGAAGCTGAAGATAGGATTTATAATGTAAGATCTTCAGCTGGGACAGCCTAAAGCAAATGTATATGCTGTTTATGATTTAAAAAAAAAAATTCTTATATTCAGACCGGTGATTTAATTTTGAATTACTTAAGATGGGTATTTTAATTTGGCCACAAGGCTTTTTTTTTAATATATAAGATAGTTAATTATTAAATCCTTCACTTTAGGATTTCAGTGCCTGCATTTTTTTTTTTAAAGTAAAAATCAGTGAAGCAGTCTTTTAAAAGAAAAACAATTGTGTTGTAATTTTTTGTTGCCTTGCCACTTTGAGTATCTCATCTGAAAATCTGTTCCTTGCCATGTTTTTCTCCTGTAACATAAACTATGTGCCCTGTGAATTTCCGGGGACTGAATTTGCAATTGCTCCTGCCAACTGTTTGTGGCCTGGCGTGTATCTGAATGCCTGAATATCTCCCCGCTGAATGAATTTCGTATTCTGACCTGAATTGACTCGGGTTTATTGATTGGCTGGACGATCTTGGTGCCGTTCCAGAAGAGTCATCGAAGGAAAAGATCCAGGAGTGTAGAGGATGATGAGGAGGGTCACCTGATCTGTCAGAGTGGAGACGTACTAAGTGCAAGATGTATAGAATATTTTTCAAAATTTATTAACTTTTCAGATAGAATAAGTTCTTTTAGCGTAAGATGTGAGGGGGCTTTGGAAGTCTTTTCTTTCTGTCTTGACTTTGTGTTTGGGGGTGGGGATTGTTATTCTTTTTCTGTAGAACTTAAATATTTCTTTTTTCTTTTCCCCCTTTTTTTCCCCCCCAAAAATAGTAAATGGAGTTAATGAACATCCTAGAATGAGATCCCTGTAAATGTGCCTTGATGAGAGCTGTCCAATAACATCTCTCAAACTAGATATTTACAATTTAAAGCAGCACAGTCTAGAATAGCTTCAGTGATAGTATTTTTGTTGTTTTTTTGTTTGTTTGTTTGCTTGTTTTTTTAATAGCTGAGTAACTTCACACCTTCTGTGACTGAGAGTTTTTTTTTTCTTTATAGATGAGATTGTTGCTACTTTGGGTGAAGGTGCTTTTGGAAAAGTAGTGGAATGCATTGATCGCAGAGCGTAAGTCTTAATGAAATACATGTCATTTTTCTCACGGATCCTATCCCAGTGTGGTTTATGAAGTGCTTTCTGATTGTGTCAGATTTTTATACTTCCTCATATGCTGCTCTGTGTATTTCTTTAAAGGCTGTTCCCTAATGGAAATTGCTGCTAGTGCAGCACCTGGACACGAGGGTTGTGCAGGACTGGGGTGGACGAGACGAGGGGAGCGTCTTGTGCAGGCGTGCCCCAGCTGGGCAGAGGCCAAGGGCTGTGGGGGCCCAGAGAAAGTGGGGTGAGGCTGCGCCCCCGCCCCGGGCGGGGCAGGGGCTCTGACATGCTGTGGCTTACCTTGGGGTGTCGTTGCCTGTGAGGGTGCGAGGCTGTTTGGGTTTGAGCAGCGAGTGTGTCAGAGGCCAGAAACGTGTTGGGTGGCAGTTGTGCTGTGCGCAGGGTAGTATGAAACTGGATTGTCTTTCTGGTCCCTGTGGAAGGCATTTGACCCCTCCGTTACATTTTTACTACAGAAACGACTGAAGGCGGCTTGTCATTTCTGACTGACAGTCGTGTTAGGCTGCGAGATTTCGCCAGTATTAACCCAGCGCACATAAATATAAGGGGGAGGCAAATGGGCCTTTAACTGTTAAGAATGCTACTGGTACCTAAGGTACCGAGTACGTTTTGAAAATACAAAGATTAAATTTTAGTTGGTTTTGTGCACAGATGAACCTTGGTTATATTAAGTCAGTAAGTACTTAAACCCTTCACTGGTAAGGTCACTTGTTACTAACAGTGTATATGGCAATAATTACTGGATATTCTTAGTTAAGACTACTTGTTCTAATCACAGTTGAAACCTGCCTTTTCAGGGAAGACAGACATGTAGCTGTGAAAATAGTAAAGAATGTCGATCGGTACTCTGAAGCAGCACGTGCAGAAATACAAGTGCTAGAACACTTAAATGCATCGGATCCTAGCAGTACGTAGTAAGTATACAAGGGTGCCCCTACTTTGTTTTGCCTTTGAGATTTCTATGACAGCACTTTCTGTAATGTATGACATACGTATCTCAGCATTCTACAAGTTCTGCTGCAATTCATGTATTTTCCTGCTTTTGCAGTCGCTGTGTCCAGATGTTGGAATGGTTTGAGTACCACGGGCATGTCTGCATCGTTTTTGAGCTGCTGGGGCTCAGCACCTATGACTTCATTAAAGAGAACGGCTTTCTGCCGTTCAGGCTAGAGCACATTAGACAGATGGCCTATCAGATCTGCAAGTCTGTGAACTGTAAGTAGGTTTCTTTTTCGCTTTGTTAAATTTTCTTTGCGGAATTTCCTAACTGTATTTGTTACCTTGCAGTTTTGCATTCAAACAAGTTGACACATACAGATCTGAAACCAGAAAATATTTTATTTGTGACATCTGACTACGTGGAAGAATATAACCCCAAGCTGGTAAGTAGCTGTCCTCTCCCCCACCTCCCCCTGGATCCTTGTCTGGGCTAATCTGCCACTTGCACCCACTGTGTTTCATTTCAGAAATGCGATGAACGCATGCTGAAAAATCCAGACATCAAAGTTGTGGACTTCGGGAGCGCAACGTACGATGACGAGTATCACAGCACGTTGGTGTCTACGCGCCACTACCGCGCTCCTGAAGTTATCCTAGGTCAGTAGTGCGCGTGGCTCCGTGTGTGCTGCTGACCGGTGCGACAGCAGGGTCTTGCTTGAGCTGTTGAACTGTTTGCAGTCTGATACAAACATGAACCTTCTGCATCTTTCCACAGCACTGGGGTGGTCGCAGCCCTGTGATGTTTGGAGCATAGGCTGTATCCTCATAGAATACTACCTTGGGTTCACCGTGTTTCCGGTAGGTAACTGTGAACATTAAAACTGCTCCTCAGCTCGGTGAGCTGCTGTGAGGTGGGGACTAAGGGAAGGGTCTGTGCGAGAAACTCGGCTGTGTGTCTGTAATGCCAAGTTGAGGAGAACAGAAAGTGCAGAGAACTTAGCAGCAGATTTCCACCAGTTGCTTTCAGTAAATATTTTGGCAGCAGCTTGATATGAAGGAGCACCCTGTTAACCTTTGTAATGTACTAGCCATGATAGTAACAGGTGTAGCTTCAGCTACCACCGTCAGCAAGCGCTGCTCAAATACCCAAATTCTGTCATTTTGGCGGTATCGCTGAAACTTGAGATTTATGAACAAAGAAAAGAAATAATAAGGCAAAGAAAAATAAGGGAAAACATACTTCACTATATTGTAACTTATCTCAGGAAACAGATGAGTACAGCCTCTCTTTCTTCCTTTAAATTGGTTGTTGGTTGCAGGGTACAGACAAAAACTGCAGGGGGGCTCTTGGTAACTTCCTCTGGCCACCCAACCTCTCTGTCCTGCTTTCCCTCCAGACCCATGACAGCAAAGAACACCTGGCAATGATGGAGCGAATACTGGGGCCTTTGCCGAGTCACATGATAAAGAAAACCAGGTAATTACCTTTTTGCATCCCTGGAGTGCTATAGTGCAATTAAAATATTTTCAGATGTGGTTTAACAGCCAATTTTTTTAAATGTTTAATGAACTTGGATTCATCTATTTCACAAGCTGATGCCCCTTGTGGAATAGTCTCAAGTCAGTTCCCAAGTCGTGAATAAATGTGCTGATAAACTTCTGGTGAAGGGACAAAACAATCTGAGTAAGGAACTGTGGTCTCTTTAAGGAAACGCAAATATTTCCATCATGACCAGCTGGACTGGGATGAACACAGCTCTGCTGGCAGATACGTCTCAAGGCGCTGTAAGCCACTGAAGGTAAGGCGACAGAGGGAAAAGGAGCTTTAAGCGCAATTTTAAGATTAAAAAAGCCTTATATCATGTTCTCTTCTTCACGAAGGAATTCATGACCTGCCATAATTCTGAGCATGAAAACCTCTTTGACCTCATTCAGAAGATGTTGGAGTATGACCCAGCCAAGCGCATTACTCTTGAAGAAGCACTGAAACACCCTTTTTTCTTCCCCTTGAAACTGGAAAAGAAGAAGCTGTCTCCTATAGCTGAGCAGACTGACACAGACGTCAGCCCAAAGAAACATAAAAAATGTTAATTATTTATTGTGTACAGTTACTTTGTAAATGCCCTATTTTGTATTATGACTTTTTGGATACTGAAGTTTAATTCAGCTGCTGGTATAAAACTTATTTAAGAAAAAGATACAGAAGAACCTGCTTGCCTTTCTTCAGTAAACAAGAACCTCAGGCACTTGCACTTCTAACAGGTGGACAGGAGCAGCCTCTGTTCTCTAAACCAGGCCTCCTAACAGGGAGATAGTATTTTAATTGTTTTATTCAACTGTCATTAGAACAGTAAGAGACCAAGGACCGATTTTTTTGCCCTTTACTGTCACTGGTGCTTCCTGTTTGGGTAAGAGAGGAGAGACAGCCCTTGACAGTAAGTGTAGGGATGGCCTTTATTTGTTTTAAAAAAAAAGTTACAAAGGAAGATTACTGAAGTATTGAACAGATTGCATTGTGATCACCACTTTTTTTCTTAATATTTAGTAGGCTATACTTGGGTTACCAGTTTTTCAGTTAATGCTCATTATTAGTTTATAACAATACAGATGTCACTTTTACCAAATCTTTCTTGAATTATGACCTGTCCTGAGAATTTCTATTAAGAATTCAAAGTTTCAAGGAATAGATAAGCTGTTTGGTTTAACATGTCAACTGCCAGCATAAAATAACCTCAGAAATTCAGGGGGGAGGGGGTAGAATTCAGCCTGCCTCACCTTCCAGCAGCCCAGGCTGCCCCTGGTGCAGCCCTGCCCAGGGCTCCGGCAGCCGCCTGTGGCACAGCACCCTCTGCCTGGGCTGCCCTGGGGGAGAAGAGCCCCCAGCTGGGGTAGGCAGCAGGCTCTAGCAGGCTGCTTCTCATAGCCCACCCTGGCTACTGGTGGCAGCCCCCAGGGCACCACCTCTGGGGGGGACGTGGAGCTCCCAGGCTTTGGAGGATTGCTTTATGCTGGTAGTGGGGAGGGGGACAGCCACCTCCCATTGGGGGTAGCGCAAGAGACTGAAGCATCACAGCAAGTTATCACACAGGCCCTGCCCTCTTCACTTGGGAGACTTTCTACAGTTTAATTTGCAAACAGGACTGCCCTACATCTTATTCACCATATCATGTCTACTCAAATACAGATAGAAAACCCAAGGGGTAAAATGGATTTCATTGTAGAAGGCCTTAAATTACATTATTACAGTAGAAAATACAGGAGGTAGAATATAACTGAAAGGACAAATGCAGGTTAGAGTCAAATCTAGGATAGCTCCTGTAAGCTACTTAAAACATGGTTTTAAAAACTAAACCCAGTATTTCAATAACTATAGAAAACAGTTAAAATAAATTGCCATGAGAGCCCTTATATCATGCTTGATACAGGGAGGTAGGATGCAAGAATCAGGACACATGAGACATGACACTTAACTACAGCTCCTGTTTGCTTTACTGAGGACAGTTTCACAGATCAGTCGCCCTCTTCAGCTTCAGACTCGGACTCTGGAACAGAGACACCCTGTCACCAGGCTGCCAGCAGGTCAGGCCCATCCCCCCGCCCCATCTCTTGCGCCGTAGCTGCCAGGGGATCTGTGGGGACTCTGCTTGCAAGCCTCCCGCCAGCACAGCAAGGCTCAGAAGGGCAAGTGACACCCCCACCCCCAGAACAAAGCATGAGTGCACCAAGGTTCCCAAAATGACCAAGCTAAGCTGCCGGTTACCTTCCTCAGCATTCTTGAGCCATTCGACAAATTTTTTCATCTGCTCCAGAAAAACACTCTTTCCTTTTGCAAGATGTGCATCTTTGTACCACTTCAGGATGGGCTCTTCACTCAGAACTTCAGCTGCAAGAGATGCAAGAGCAGTATTAACTCAGGGAAACAAGTACCAGGGGCCGAGCCCCACGCCTGGCAGCCTTTGCTTCCTCCCCCAGAAGCATGCATCCCAGTCCCGGCCCGCTGGGGCACACCTGCGCCAGGCCTGCCTCCCCCTGCAGCCTGGCTGCTGGGGGCTGGCTGCCCTCACCCCTGCTGCTGGCCTCGAGTATTTCAGAGCTGGCCCGCTGTAAGGAAAGCTTCAAGTCAAGAGCTAAGAACAGATGCCAATTCTTAAAAGCCTGAAGTACCCCCCAGGAAGTGTTTAATTGTTTTTTAAATTTTACAAGTACAATATAATCTTCAGTTTAACAGCAAGTTTCCTCCTGCTCCTGTGGTGTTTCCCCAGGTGCACAGCATGTTTCTCTGTAACACCTTTAACAGGCACTCAGTGGTCTCAACCTCTGCCCACAGCCAGTGTCCAGACAGAAAACTACATAATCATGTATCTTTCCCTAATTTAAAAGGGCCAAAGAGCCTTAAAATCTAAATTCAGCTTTGATCTATCACAACTCTTAAATAAATCTAGTAAAGAGGCAGCATCCTTGTCTACAGGAATACTGCCCCTTGGGCCAAGGACAACTACATCCACCTTGGCATTTTACTGCTCCATTTCTGCAAACAGAAGGTATAAAATTCCTCAGCCCATGACATGCAGTGTTGTAGCACTGATCTTCCTTAAAGGTCTTATACAGGACTGAAGCATTCCACAAATACAGGTTTTAAAAAAAACCCACCAAATAAAACCAACCCCCAAAACTACCACCCCACAGAAGTTACCTTTGTAGAAGAGCACCACTATTTTCTGGAAGGCCTTCATGAAGTGAATGTTGTCATAACAATACTCCTGAATCTTCAACAGAAGAGTCAGCTCTGACTGACCTTGGGTAGTAAAGGCAGCAAGTAGAGGGCTGTATTGCTGTAACAGGAACAACACGTTGGCACACGCAGAGCGCCTCGCCTGCAGCGCCTGACTAGACTGGTTTCAGAGTTTCCATCAGCTGCTGCTCAGCAATTCGCAGCCCCTGCCCCTCCCCAGGCGCTTCTGCACAAGTCACACTGCTTGTGCCTCCTAACTCGGACTATAATACCACAGTTACAAGGGGTAGAATTCCCTGTATTAGGGGGGTTGTATGTTTTAACTCATTTAAAAGGGAGCTGAGAGAGGGGGAATGACCCTGCTCCACGGGTGCAGAAGTCCACACATAAGTTCCAATACCTTCAAGTGCTTAATGGCTTGCTCTGCTACCAGCTCCTCCTTTTTGTTCCACTCCACCGTGCTCATCACACTTGACCAGATGATGGCTACCACAGTCTGTTCTGAGATGTTGTTTTTCTTCATCTCCTCTTTCACATACAAGATTATCTGCCAGTTGGAATAAAGAGAGTCAGCACAGAGGCCACATATGACACTAAGCTAAATGAAAACTTCTGTTCTAAAAGTAACCCAGAAGCCTTCAGAACCTCAAACCACCTCCTTGACCATATAGCAGAATTCAGGACATTAAGCCAAGATGATAAAGCTAATACCAAAACACCCTGGTCCTAGTTTTAACCACTTGGCTCTCACTAAGAATTAAGTTCAGTACTTAATTAGACATATATCTTCTTCAGGTTAGTATTAAATGCTATTGTATCTCAGACAGTTTGAGCTAAGTTCCTACAGGGGGGAAAAAAAAAGGGGCAAAAATAAAGCACCTCCAGCTTTTCTACAGACAAATACTTACGTCCTTGAACGGATCTCCCCGTGACATCTGCTCCTGAAGCTCTTTCTGCAGCTCTTTCCGAGCTCCTATGGTTTGCTGGTTCCGAACATACTCAGAAAGTTCTTTTAGTCCTGCTTCAGTGAAGTACTTGGAGAAGTGTTCAACACTTTGTTTGTTGGCTGGGAAGAGTTCCTGAAAACAACGTTTACAACAACTGTCACAAAAGCAACGGGTGTGAAGTACTTAGCTGGTAAATGCTATTTACCAAACTGGCAGAAGTAGCAACATCAGTAATTTCAGCAGTACTCACCATCAGCCTGTTATCCATGTTTACTTTACGAAGACTGACAGCCACTGCATTAATATCTTTCTCATTTATCCATGATTTGAACAGCTTGACCGCAAAAGCTGCAGAAACACCTGTGCAATAGGAACAGGACTATTATTATTGAAATTCAAACCATTACTACTAGTATTACTGAAATTCAAACCAAAGGGAATCACAAGGCCAGAGAGTAGAGCAAGGCCTGAAAGCAGCAGGCGCCGTGCTCAGAACAGCCCTAGCAGGGGCTGCAGTCCCTCTGCCTGAGCTCACTGTAGCCTCCAGCACGTTGGCCTTCTCTTGCCACCCAGCACCACGAAGGCTTCCCTGTGCTAAACTCAACTCTCTTTGCTCCAATTTAAGAAGGAGCCTAAAGACATGACACACCTTCTGCATCTTGAAAAGTCCCTCCAAAACACAGCACTGCCTTGCTGGGCAACACTAGTGACAGCAGCCCCCAGTGTCACGCAGGGAAGTCCTACACACCAGCTGCCTGAAAAAACTAGTTTTCTAAAGTCTGAGCAAGACCTTCCAGGCTATGAGGCAGCATCTTTGCTTTTGCTAATCCAGTAGTAAATCTACTGCCGGATGAAGCTAATGTGCAGCCAGGGTGTACTGTCATCACAATTTCTACCTTCTTGTCATTGTTCTATCTCTCACCATCCTTCCCTAAAGGAGGAGTTAGGCAACACTTACCTTCTTTAACCAAGTTCTCATTGTACAGACTGTTGAGAATCGATGCATTAAGCGTCCCGTTGGCTAGCAGAATACCCGTCAGCATGGCCAGCTTGTTCCGCTCGGACTCTGAGAACCCTTTCAGGAACAGCAGCAACTGCAAGAGGAAGAAGAGTTGCCATAAAACTACCACCTTAGAGCAAAGTTTGGCTGCTGCCTCCATGTTAAGACACTTGTGTTTCAATCAAGCTGTTCAACTAGCAGAAGCACCAGTTCACTGGTAGTCTTCTCCACTAATCATACAAACTAGCTGTTCTTCTATTGACAAGGGAAGTGTTCTATTTTAATAATCCATTGTATGATATAACTCTTCTGTAGAGTGATTAACTAGCAGAATTTGAAGGCTTACTTGTCTGCTCATAAGGACCTAAACTCCATACCTTCTTGACTTCATCTTCAAAGCCTTTCTCCAGGTACTTGTAACGCCTGATCAGCTTGTTAAAAACCTAAAAAGATACAGAGTATATTATTTTTTGCTCTGAACTATCATTTAATTAGAAGTAAAAAAAAAAAAAAAAAAAAAAAAACAAAACCAAAACAAGTTCAGTAAAGTTGGTCTGAAATCTTTAGAGCACTTCCATCTTAGGACAGTGCTACTCTAACCTCTTCTAGTAAGCTTCTTAAAGCCATGCATTATTTTTACCTAAACTTCCAACTACAGAAACATTTCATTTTTGACCACTAAACACTTTAAAAATTGTACTCATTTCAGAACTAACCTGAGCAAATGCTTGCATGGTTTCCAGGTCTTCCTGTGCTGCGAATACACAGACGTTTGTGCGTGTCATGTCATCTGCCAGGGTACCACCTGGGGCTAAAGAAAGGTTCCAGCATTAGTGGAGTTACTTCTCAGTGAGAGTACCGAGTAATCTCCACAATAAGAATTCCAATTCCTGTAACACACAACGCGCTCTCCTTTCATGATGAGCTGAATGACCGGATCACTGAAGACACCCCTACATTTTGATCTGCTCCACTGCTGTAGTGGAACTTCAAAATCAATAGCTTTGGTATTAACATTTAAATGTTCCCACCCTCCTACTGCTAAGTGGATTGGCAACACATATGAGCTCCTCTTCCCTGAAAGGAAGCCACGGAAACTGCTCAATCCTAGGCAAGTGTCTTTTTAGTGTCTGCTGCAATAGTGCCGCTTTGTAACCAAGTGCCTTTTAAATAACAGAGAAACTCAACAAGAGATGAAACAGAGAGATGCCTGGACAAAATGCAGTGCCCCAGAGATAAGCGTGAAACTTCAGTCTTGAAAGGCACTTCAGCTTTTTAGATGCTAATCAGAAGATGTTTCTTCACCATTTCTCTTCATTTTAATACAGGTATTTGACTGATAGCCACCAGACTGCTTCACTAACTAGAGAGAATTCAAGTCACCAAGTCCAGTGCCAGAATACCTCATCACTGATTTCTATGCCATCCTACACAGAGATTCTTTTGTTATGTATTAGTCAGAAACATGACTTAAAGACGGAGATAGGCATTACTGGTAATAATGTTAAAAGGTGGCAAGGCAACAGAATGCCAGTTTTTATTTTGCCTTGTCTAGCTAAAGATCAAAGCTAGTCTACTTACAGAGAGAGAATTGAGTAAAGGACCCCTATATCTCCATTAATGTAGCAATGCATTCTTCCTTCTCAGCTTCATTCCTAGAAGGAACACTTTCTAACACAGTATGAACTGGTTAAGACTCCTGAATGTAAACCCACAGACTGTAACCATGTTCAGATTAACAATTCCAAGCAGCAATGCTCCATGGGGCAGAAAAGTTTATTACTCATGCTACCAGCTCTTGTAACATCAGCAAAAGGGCCTCTTGCCAAAAGGAACATGGCAGTAACTTCAGTCTGCATAACACTGTTCCAAAATGCAGCTGAGACAGGCAGGCACATCAAGTTAAGCCGTTCTGAAAGCCTTCCTTTTCTGCATTTCTTTGAGCAAGTCACCTGACATTTCTGCAGTCTCACCGTGAAGACCTCCTCAACGTGCAACAGTTGCATCCTCCCAAACCAGCCACCCCCAATGCAGAACTGAAATCCAGAGTCTGACAGTGGCCCTGAATCAGGTATTTCGTCACCTCCCCCTATGCATTTAGGTCCTTTGAATTCTATTTCTGTTACATTACAGAAAATCTTCTGCAACTGCCAAATTTCTCATTTAAGTCCTCCCCCCCAACTATTGCATAACAAACCCTAAAATCTGAGACAGACCTTTTCTAGTCTAGGCAAACAACATAAAGGGTCCTCCGCTTCACAGCCTGTATTTTAAATGGGTCCCTGCCACCTGAACCCCTTCTCACTAAACAGTATGTAGTCAAGTAGGAAATGTACAGTCTAAATCTAAAAGTACCGCTTCATTTTACGACTCTTCAACCTCATTTAGCTTCATCTGCTTCTTACCTGGTTGGTGAGCGTCTGTCCCACTCTTTGCTCTTTACACACAGTGTACACAAGTTCACAAGACTTTTCATTACTACATTTCTACTTCTTCAGCCCTCTGTTTTCTGCTGACTTGACCGCCCTCTCATTTCTTACTCCCTGACACTTGCTAGAACCCATGACCACTGTCAACAACACACGATTCGTAATAGCATTGCCAAGACTAAGCACATCAGATTCTTCTGTAAACAACATTACTGTCCAAAATAACAGGACAGAGTGCACAAAGCACAGGATCATGATAGAATCTTTCATGGCAACTCCGTTGGTCTTGTGACCACAGACCACACACCTGAAACAAGCATTCATCCACCTCACATCTGCAGAAGTGAACTTGACTACAGAGTCAAGATCCACTCCTGGTAAAAACCAAACCCTATTAATTTTACCTTTAACCCAAGTTTGTACAGTCTACACTTCAAAAAATGCAAACTGATTCAAGCAAAACTGTGGTAGGGTATACAGAGTCTTTCTACAGTAATCTGATTGCTCAGTCAGACACTAAGATAGTTTACCACAGATAACTCAAACCCTGTTCCACACACTCTGCGGGCTCTCTAGCAGTTTTTACACTGAAAGAAAACAGTGAGCTTTTATAGACTCAAATGACTAAAGGCTGACAGCAGCCACCTCAAAGGGACTTACCCAGCATTCCACCAGCCACCAGGATGTCAAAAAGTGTTTCTGCATAGCGGCGATAGTCAAGTTTTGCACCAGAAGCATCGAGAAACTTCGCTACTGCCTCCAAGTCTGTGCCAGTTTCGGTTAAACCTTGAATAATACAGTCCTGGAACTGAGTAGGGTCAAACCTCTCTTTTTCATCTGTAAAAACAAAGCGTTGACATAAAGTTGCCACACACAGCTGTTTGGCTTTTAAAATCTGTCATTTTAATCTTATTTTAAAAAATCCAAAACTATACTTGGACTGACAAGCCTGACAACCGGTATTAACTAGCACACATAGTGACTTAGCGTAGCCTAAAATGAATTTAAACGGTCAACACAGCAGTGAGAAGTTTTACTGCTTTTGCTTTCCAATTCAGTCAGGGCTGGGGGAAAGGCTACCAAAAGCTAAAACTTTCCTTAGTTACCTCTAACTGAATACTTGCTGTGATTTCACCAAGAACAGTTGTTTGTGATGATCATTACTTGATTCTAGTAAAGCTTATCTGACTTCTCAGTTTGATTCTTATACCCCTGTTCACATTAGATCACTCACTCTCCAAAAACAGAGGCTCAGCTACTGCTGGAAGGCAATTCTTAGTATGTGCCCCTACAATTTTGTACATTTGACTATTACTCCTGTTGTTTTAGCCCTTTGGGTCTCTCACCATTTTTGATGAAATACTCTTGACTGAAAAGCTGCATACTATTATTACATTAGAGCCAAGTGACAGTACTTGCTTTTTGGCTATGAAGACCATTCTCTCCTCTTAATATGGAGTTAAATGAGTCTGAAGCAATTACTTTTCCTCAAGTGCCTAGGGGAAACACAGAAATCTGAGCTAACTGCTTAGTCTTAAATAAACATGAAATGATGGACTATAATTACAGATCTATTTAGCATCCTTTGTTGATGTTAAAGCAGAACACATGCTTCTTCACATGAGACACATCAGTTAATCATAGCCTTGTTTTCACTACAGGTAGGGCATCATTAATATGCAACAAAACCGCCTGTGTAACTAACAGAAGCCTTAAATGGAAGAGGTCTTCAGCTTTACTTTTCTCATTTTGTCCTTAGATTATGCAAACCGTGCGAGGGTAAGCTTCCAAGGAAACAGAACACAGGTGCAAATCTTACTTTGAGTGCTGTCTACAACAGCTTAGCCAGTTTTGTTAACATCTGTTAGCATCCCTTCTGTAAGGGGCATACTAGTGTGCTTACATTCAATGCAAGCACCAGCATGTCAGTAACAGTTGGGCGGAAGTCTGGAAATACTGGATCGGTTATTTTACAGAGCAGATTCACAAAGCTCACTGCTACCGTAGAGTTGCTTAGAAGCCAGACTATGGTTAAATGCTTACAAATGGACAGAAACGCAGGATGCTAGCATTTCATCCGCTGGACAGACGAAATGCAACTCTCTCACTTGAACAGTTCCTCAAGGAGCTTTTATTTTAACATTAAAATAGTTTCTGTAAGTCAGCGTGTACTTCTGTACAACTTCATTACTAGTTCAATACGTACAGAATCCTTGATGCTGTCAGTTTGAGCTGGACCACTGCTAGTGTATTAGTAAACCAGCATTAAACAGGAACTCTAAAAGCTGTCCTCACTTCCTCTTAAGGTTTAAAAAACCAAAATACTCAATTCGTCATCACACCTCTTCAGTCATTAACTCTTCCTATGCGAGTAACTGTGCACCTACAGAGACAGGCCCTTGTACATCCCACACTTGGGTTTTTTTGTATGGATGGCTGGGGTGGGTGGGTTTGCAGGGTTTTGGTTTCTAGATTGTGAGGTTTGTTTAATTTAAAATCAGGTATTCCTATAGCAGTAAGGGGAAAACGTAACTTTTATCCAGCTGTTAACACTGAAACGCCTACATTAGATGATCCTTAGATATATGAACTGACCTACAACAAGCCTACGATGGAATTCCCCTGTAACTCACAGGTACTAGATACTTCTGCTTTCAGGCTAAATACACTCAATACAGCTCTAGAATGACTATCTCTTAAACCAAGGTTATCACAGTAAATTCAGCTACAATTCTTACTGCCAAACAGTTTTCAGTAGTGCAGAGAACATTCTAGCACCCAGAGTTAGCCTCAAGACTCTGTATTTAGCATGGTCTCATTTAAGAGAAGAGCCTAATGGCGTTGGGTTGTTTATTGACTGAAACCAACTTTTTCCTGAGGGCCACGCACATGGCACCGATAGCAGGTAGTGGCAGGACACACACTGCAAACAGCTTACCTCTTTTTCTAGTTTTAAAACGCTGGCCTGATAGCGTCGGCTTCTGCGGCTTTTGATTATTCATAAAAGACACCCTGTAAGGAAGGAGAAACGCGCCTCAGGACGCGGGCGGCGGAGCCTGCCCGGTCCCCGGCGGCCGGAGGGCGCCCCGCCAGCCCCCCGCGCCGCTCCCCACCCGGCCTCTCCCCGCCCACCCGCGCCGCGGCCGTTCCTCCTTCCCTGCCCTTCCCCGGCCTCCATTTTCCCCGCAGCGCAGGGCCGCTGGCGGGGCGGCGCCGGCCCCCGCCCCGGCTGCCCGACACGCCCCGCGCCTCCCCGGGCGGCGGCGCCCCACACGCCGCTTTGCTGCCGCCGCGCTCAGGCGCCCGCGCGGGGGAAGATGGAAAACGTGTGTGTGTGTGTCCCTCCCGCCTCCATACCAGCGCGACGCGGCCTGCTCTGTGCCCTGCTCTGCCCTGGCCTGGCGGCAGCCGGCCCCATCCGGCCGCGCCACTCCCCGGCCGCGCCCGGCGGCCGCCCCCCCCCCGCCTAGGCCCGTCTCCTCACCGACTTCAAGGCAGAGAGAAAACGCCGGAGCGGCCCGGAGCGGAGACGGGCGGAGCAGCGGCGAGGAGCGGCGGCTGAAGCTCTCCCGGCGGAACCAACGCGAGAGGAAGACGGGAGAGCCACGCCCCGCCCCGCCCGGGACGAACCATCTCGCCTCACCAGAGGGACGGCAGCGAAAAGACCCGGGGAAAGGGGCCGGGCTTCCCCGGGGCGGGGCCGTGCCTGCACTGGGCCCCACCAGCACCCAGCGGCGCCCCGCCCGAGGAGCGGCCCCTTCCCTGCCAGCGGGGCTGCCGGCCCGACCCCCCCTTCCCCGGCAGTGGGCGCGCCCGCGCCCTCGTGACTGTGCGTCACACGCAAGTAGTCTCCCGGTGCCCGCCTCGGCCTCGGCGGGGCGCGCGCGGGCAGCGCGGCGCCCCCTGGCGGCTCGAGGCTCAGCGCAGCCCGAGGGAGCGGGGCCGGGGCAGCGCAGCGCAGGCCGGGGGCCGCCGGGGCGGTTGCGGGCCGGGCTGCTGTGCGCTCCCGGGAGAGCGGCTCACGGAGCAGAGCCGGGCAAGAAGTGCCGGGGGCAGGACAGGGCCCTGCTTTGCACCGGGTTTCGGCAGCCCGCTGCGTGCGCGCAGCAGAGGAAGGCCTGCGGTGAGCGGGGCCCGCTCCCCGTGGGGAAGGCGTGAGCCTAACCTCGCGCTGGTTAACCTCAGCCCGGTCCCCACGCGGTTCCCTCCTCCGGACGCAGCGTCGGCCCTTCCTGGGAAGCGTCCCAGCAGTAGGGAGTACAAACAAGATAACGGAACAGCGGCTGCTCTGGAAAAGGAAGGAGTTTCTGCAAAACTGCCCTAACACTGACAAATTAAAAATGATTTACCTCATATTTAAAGAAAAATGAAACTTTAAAATACCATCTTAAAAAAAAAAAAAAAAGAACCCTAAGTAAAAGCTTTACATTCCCTTGTGCTCTGGACATACCTTTAGGAAGGGGGCCACTGCAAAATCTCTATAGTTGGCCAGATTTACCAGCACAATGACTTGCACCACTTGTTCTTACACTTCATTCTCTTCCTCCCCACCAGTTTACTTCACGCAGGGAGGCCCCCTCCTCCTTCCAGAACAGTGGCAGCTTTCACTCTACAATCAGGGGTTTATCACAATTTAATAGTAATAAACAGAGAGAGGTACTTACCCAGTCTTCCAATTTGCCTTTGGGATTGTCTCTGTACAGGGTCCAGACACTTCCAAAGGATTTGACAAGCAACCTAGGGAGGAAGAAGATTGGGCACCACTGACCAACCCACAAACCCAAATCTATCTGCTGTTTTTAAAGCAATACAAGCTCACTCTGGGTGAAGTTAGTTTATGAAAATCATTCTGAAGGCCATAACTGTGTTCATTTACCTACAATGTCTTTACTCTGCTAACTGCCAGCTAGAAAGCAGCACTTTGTGAAGAGTGGCACTGGCGTCTGCTCCAATGTAACTGAGGTACTCGTATACCAGGCTGTCACTGAAACCATCAACAAAAATAAGATAAAGAATCTGACTCTTCTCTTATTTTGATTTACTAGATAGAAAAAACACTGGCTTGAATGATTTATCACAAAATAAATAAAATCAGAATTGGTCTCAAACCATTTAAGTGGATAAGGGTGTTTCAGTCTGATTATTAAAAAATGCACCTGAAATATACCTTATGCTAAATTTTCCTTTAAAGTGTGTTAAATACAGAATAAAATGAAGATCCATAAATTAAACTAGCAGCAATCTAAAAAAAACCCCCACATTTGTAAATCTGATATAGTAAAGCAGAAACGAGTGACCCTTTTAAACAGTGTTCTGTAATTGCATTGCTTTAAACTGTGCATGTAAAATAAACTAGTAAGAGACATTCTGAGATAAAAGAACTGCAAGCTGCTCAAAATTAAAACAAAATTATGAATCCTTAGAGGGATATTCAGTATACAACAGAACCAGAACCACTGATTATGTGAAAAAATGGTAATAGATCTAACCTGGACTGCTCTTGCATTGATTTCTGTTCTGACTGATCTTGCTGTGTATTTGCCATCAGGTACAGGTGTTGTACTTGTTTCACTGAAGCCTATCTATGACAGTGGTATCTTCAGTTCACGACTGGCAATGTGTAATAAAAGTAAACCAAAAGATACCCACTCCCACTTCAAGATGCAATCTCAAGTCAGGAATTCATCATGCCATTCATCTCTCTGTATACATACACACACAGAGAAATGACCTAATTCAACAGTAATAGTATGACTAGGACAAATGCAGAAGCCTTCCTTAGAAATTATTCTGTTAAACAAATATTTTATAAATAAATTCAGGTAATATAAAATAAGATAAAACCATACAATGCAGTATTATATGCTTTGCATCTAGTTAATTGATCTCTCTAATCAGGTCTTGGTTACATACAGACAACCTCATTAAATTTAAAAACCAGTTAATCATTCTCCCTCATGGAGATTCAAATCTTATTTGTATACTTTATTTTCTATCTCATTTGAAATAGCTTGGTTAGTCTGTGTTCCCACTTCATTGTTTTTCACAGTAGTCTAATATTCAGATGTTCATTCAGCTCATTTTGAAAGAGTGGCCTCATATTAGCTCCAAAATGACCTATTTGTCACATAGTTTTGTTTATCATGTTTTACACCAGAAATGCATACAAAATAATTGTTATCTTTGGTGTTGGATACACTACAAAGTTAAATTTTCAGCACTAACTCCCTCTGCTCTCTGTGCCTTAGCTATCCTGGTAACAGTGATGTTACCACAAAGGTGTTCATCTCCTTTCCAGGTTTTAAAAGATCACTTTCATTATAGCTTGTATTTTTCCAAAGTTTTGTCTTCATTAATAACTCAGAGGCAACAACCCAGTATAAAACTTAGCTTTCTTACGTCTATAGAATTTGCCTATTGTACTTCTTAGTGCCATTCATTCTTTTGGCTCAGCTCTTCTTTCTTATTTTTTGTTTACCCTCAGATGCTAACTCACTCACCTGTAACATCTTAGTGTGAATTCCTTGTCCCAGTTCAATTCTACCATGAGTGACTAGCACAAACCCATCCATATAGACATGGACAAGAGCTCCAGCCTAAAAAAAAGCCACAGAAACTTGGTAATTTTCTTATATCACTGAACAAAGGTGCATAAGAAAAAGAGCAAGGCAAAGACAGATTTAATTCACAAGAAACGGTATATTAGTAAGAGAGAGTGGAAATTCTCCAGCAGTCTGACAATAACAAATTTCACTGCTCTAAGACAGAATAGACTCTAAATGAGCTAGTAGTTATTCAAAGGAGTTCTGCAGGGACCACAGTAATTAGTTCAAATAACAGAAAAGCATATTTTTCTTATGAAATTGGGTGAATTAAGAACATGCTGGCTGTAGTTATAACGTTTGTGTAGCCCCAGATACTATTCCCTCTTCATCCACAAAAAAAAAGGATGCACAGAGCAGAATTTGAACCTGAAATCAAAGGCATTTTGGACAGATGGCAAAGTATCTCCTACTATGAACATCTATAGAACTTTTCTTTTAGAACAAACAATAGCACAGTTGTACTTTTGTTCTTCTGAAATGGAGGGATTAGTCCTAGTCCTTTTTGTTTGCATGTATCCATAAACTGATGTTTGTAGTATAGGATTTTGATGGAGCAATGACAGAGCTGCTCTCCCATTCTCTCTCATAGGCAGTCAAGAGAATGGCTTAGAACCTGACTCACTTTCTGCTCATATTTTGTGCAGCCTTGTGCCACTAAATAGCTATCTTAAACAGGAGAAATGCAAGAAGCAGGTGGGAATGGAAGTAATGAACTTTCATTCATGGTAAAATCAGGAACAAATAACTTGCCAAGGAATGATAATGAAAGAAATCAATCCCATACTAGCCACCCACTCCGACGAAGGAACAAGTGGCTATGAAGGAGAACTGGAAATTCTGTAACGAGACATTTTGCTGTAGCATGCAATTGGCTGCCAACGCTCAGAGAGCAAACAGTAGAGCTTGAGAGGTGTTGTGAAATACAGTGCCTCTGTGACATCTTTTTATTTGTTACTAATTCTACATTGAGAAATAATGGCCATGTGATCTCTTTGATGCCAACTTGTGACGTTTGCAATTAGGTAACGTTGTTGTCAGTTAGAGTCTTAGATGACAGAGGAAAGATTAGACAATAAATCTATTCTCTAAGATTTAGATCTAGATTTTTGGCAATTCAATGCAATGCTTGAGCTTTATTTTGAAGGTTTTGGTAAAATATAACTCTTTTATGCCTTTTTTTGACCTTTTTGTATCAGATGAATTGTGATCCCTAGATTCAATGTTTCTTTACCATGAGAACATTGTTGGATGAAATATATTAATCTCCCTCTGAGCTCTTAATATACAAATTTGTGCAGAGACAAACAAGAAATGTAATAAATAACTAACATATGAACCATGTGGATTTACTTTTTCATGCATTGTATCTTCATAGACAAATAACAATGTTTGTGCATTTAACCTGGAACTCATTTGAAAGAATTCTTGGTTCAAGGCATGAATTAAAAAGGAAAAAAAAAAATCAGAACTGGAAAATTTCCCCAGAAATACCACTATACTAAGCCATAAAAAAATCCAGTAGCAGAGCTTAATCTATTATATAAATGGTACTATCTGAACTATATGAGTGATAATTTTTCTTACTATGGACCAGATTATGGAAAGTTCCAAGTACCACATTTTTACACTGAATTAATTTGCTTTTTGCTGGATAAAGATAGCATGTTGGGAATCAGAAATTCACATTTCTGTGAGATGAATACTCATAGAATCATAAAATGGTTTGGGTTGGAAGGGACCTTCAACCCAAGGGGAAGATCATCTAGTTCAACCCCCCCTGCCATGGCCAGGGACATCTTTCACTAGATAAGGTTGCTCAGAGCCCCTTCCCATACTGAGTAACCATTTATAAAGAGATAATCCAGAGAGAATAATACTCTTTCTGAAACAAAGTATAACTCAGTGGATATTTTATGCTAGTCCAGCACATTGGAAATCTTTTCGCTTTCTGTCCTGACTCTAGAGGCTATAATTCCTCTGTTTTTGGAGAGAAAAGTAGAGATCTTAGA